AACGCTCCATCCGACGACTGATGCGAGGCGGCGTCAGAGTCATCATGATTACTGGTGATGCAGAGACTACGGCGCTTGCGATTGGTAGACAGCTAGGAATGAATGTCGCTATTCCTAGCGCTCATTTGCCAGGCCAGAACGCAGTCAAGGCTGTCTTGAGAGGAGATGAGATTGACAGGATGTCGGATGGGGATCTCGCCGAAGCAATGCAGCACACCACTATTTTCGCCAGAACTAATCCGGACCACAAGATGAAGATTATCCGCGCTCTCCAATCCCGGGGAGACATTGTAGCAATGACAGGTGACGGTGTAAATGATGCGCCAGCCCTGAAGAAAGCCGATATTGGTATTGCAATGGGACGTCACGGAACCGATGTTGCTAAAGAGGCAGCGGACATGATTTTGACCGACGATGATTTCTCCACCATTTTACGGGCCATTGAAGAAGGCAAGGGAATATTCAACAACATTCAAAACTTCCTCACATTCCAGCTTAGCACGAGTGCGGCAAGTTTGGCCCTAGTATTTGTCTGCACATGTTTCGGGTTCAAGAGCCCCTTGAACGCCATGCAGATTCTCTGGATTAGTAAGATTTCCCATTCAATTGTTTGTTCTGTTAAGGAAGGTTTGACTAACGTGAGAGCAGATATTATCATGGATGGTCCTCCTGCTCAGTCTCTCGGCGTCGAAAGTGTCGACCCAGATGTCATGAACAGGCCACCAAGAAAGCGCAATGATGCAGTTCTCACGAACAAACTCATCCAGCGAGTTTTAACCTCGGCTGCCATCATCATGGTCGGTACCATGCTCACGTATCGGCGACAGATGGCTGACGGCGTCGTCACCCGCCGGGACACTACAATGACCTTTACTTGTTTCGTATTCTTTGACATGTTTAACGCTCTTAGCTGCCGCTCTGAATCAAAATCGGTGCTGCGTGGCGAGGTTGGGCTCTTTTCGAATAACTTATTTAACTGGGCAGTTTCTCTGTCAATCGTCGGTCAACTGCTTGTCATCTACCTTCCATGGCTTCAAGAGGTTTTCCAGACAGAGGCCCTTGGGCTGGGCGATTTGTTCCGGCTCGTCATCCTTTGCAGCACGGTGTTTTGGGCAGATGAATTACGAAAGTATCTGAAGTACGGGCGGCGGCGTTTGGGCGGCGGGTACAGTCAAGCGGTATAAAAAGAGTGCATGGTATGGGAAAAGAGAAGAAAAAAGGGACGGGTTGGGGCTTCAAGAGGATTGTGATATAGGACAAGAGGCGACTTAAAAGGGGAATAGAGTAGATCCCCTATATACCTATACATAGTTAGCATTGATATGTATTTTGCATAGCATTATTGAATTGGACTCTCGATATATGCTGGAGCGGACATTAGGTAATTAGGAACATTGACTTAAGCTATACCCCTAGAATTGAAGGACGTGGCCTGGTATTTGACTGGTTGTTACCCGTATCCATGGAACCAAGTGGTGGTGACATGGAGAACCCCAAATTCAGACTGTTTGAGAGTAGACACAATTGATGAGGATTGAAGCTAATTTCACATATAAGACGTTGCAAATTTTGTTTATTTTGTTTAAATACAAATACTTTGTCTACCAATATTACTTAATTTCAAACGTCCAGCTCAGAAGCAGCGAAAACAATTGGAGGTCCTTAAGTTAGCCCCTCCACCACAGCCCCCCATATCGTGCAGTAACACCGGTAGTAGCTTATCTGTCACCACAACACCACCAAGCTGTAACTGCAACCTCCCAATCCGCCAGCTAGTGACCTCGGGCGGTGCAGCGACTCTAATCCGCCTCGAAGACGCTTGCTAGGGGCAGCTATGCGCCTCCTCGATACTCGTTCTCAGCGCCAATGTCAGCCTCTAACGGCGTCCTTCGCGGCGGCAGCCAAGCTGTAGCAGCGTCAGCCGTCCAAAATGCCACCACCGAGGCCGAGATACGCGCAACACTCGCCGCCCTCCACGAACGCGAAGCAGCCATAACCGCGAGGCTCGATGCGCTCCTCGAATCGCAGGCCGACCTGTCGCGGGATCTGGGCAGGTTGGACCTCCTACGAGCCGGGCTGGGCGCTCAGGTGATTGCGGCTCGATCCATCAGCAACGACATGCTCTCGACGGCAGCAGACACGGCCGGGCGGCTCAGCAATAGGGTCAAGGAGCTGGATCTGGAAAAGAGCCGCGTGGAGGATACGCTGGGCGTCGTGGAGCAGGTGGCCGAGCTTAAGGCGTGCGTCAATGGCGTGGTTGGATCCATGGGGGCGCCGCAGGACTGGGAGGCGGCGGCGGCGTACATTGCCCGCGCAAGCAAGATCCCAGAGGCCATCACCAAGGGAGCCTTTGCCGCCAACATTGTGCCCAGCGTCGAGGTGCCTGATGCGCCCTGGGTCACTCTGGAGACGGCCAAGGAGAGCCTGTGTGGCCTCTTCCTGCGGGAGTTTGACAAGGCGGCGTCTGAAGGCGATGGCGCTAAGGTGACGAGGTTCTTCAAGCTGTTCCCTCTCATCGGGAGAGCCGATGTTGGACTGGATGTCTACGGAAAATATGTGTGCCAGGGTGTCGCGGGTACGGCTCGAGCAACTCTCAAGGACGGCATGGCGGGCCAAAATCGCAAGGAGGGCATCATCTACGCCAACTCCCTCACGAGACTCTTCCAGCACATTGCACAGATTGTCGAGGGCCACGGAGGGCTCGTCGAGAGACACTATGGTGCGGGGAAGATGGTACGCGTTATCGAGCGCATCCAGATGGAGGCAGATGTTCAGGGAGGCATCATTCTCGACACATGGGGCGACGAGCGCGGAGTTGATAAGAAGCTTACAGACGTCAAAAGCTATCCTTTCTCATTTCTGGTTCAGAGCTTCTTACCACAGCCTCCTCGAGGGGGCATCCCTAGGATGAACTCGCCTGCGTCAGGCATGGGCAACAATCCTCGTAGCAGCGAGGACGAGGGAGTCAACATGAAGGAGGTTGATGGCCTGCTACATGAGATCTCCGTCATGCTTGCGCAGTGGTCATTCTACACTCGTTTTATTTCAGCAAAGTCCATGGTATGTACAAGCTGCAGATATTACTTCTTCCTCCTGCTCGATTCTTTCTCCTCTCTCTCTAACCGCAGTATTTGTTTCTCGCACAGGACACAACAGATCAAGATGCGCCTCTGAGAATGGCAGAACTGCTTGTCAAATCGAAACTATACGGCAAGGTGTCTTCTAAACTAATATCACCCTACAATGTCATGTCGACCTTTTTCTTCCGTCGATCCGTTGAGAAAGCGTTTCAACTGGATGAGTACCCCAGTGGCCTGTCTTTGAGTCTGAATAAGCCAATAGAGGGCAACACTCCCTACATAATACTTGCGGTTGATGATGTTATGTATATTGTCAATGCCGTGCTTCAGAGGTGTTTATCCACCTCGCAGAAAGATGTTGTTACTTCCGTCGTTCCATCGGTCAGTCGAGTCCTTACCGGCGACTTTGTGGGCATGATACAGCGCAAGATGCGTGACGAGTCTTACCCCAAGGCGGCCATACAAGGGGGCTTCCCGCCGGAGGAGAAGATTATACAGTTCATTGTTCTCATCAACAGTTTGGACATGGCCAACGAATATCTGGTTAGGATCATCCACGGCCGCATTGGCTCCCCAGATGGGCCAGCACAACAAAAAGAGGAAATTGAGGCCCAGCTAAAACAGGCATTCCCTTTCGAACGCGATGTAGCGGCTGTTGTGGGTGCACTGCGCGCATTAGAGACGGCATTCATTGGAAAGACAACGGAATTGCTCAATGAAGCAATCCAAGTTTTATTTAACCAAGTGGTCAAGCTACGGCTAAGACCGGTCCTCAGCGACACATTCCGCGACGCCGATTACACGCTGACTGAGCAAGACATTGCGGAAATCGCCCAGGAGAATGACGAAGCAGAAGGAGTAATGCTAGACCAAGTCTCACGTCGCTTTGAACACGGGTGGGAGCAACTTATGAAGGCTATTGGCCGACTCCTGACGCCGGGCACATTCAGCACCCTTATGGACATGACAGCGCGTTACCTATCTCGAATTCTGGAGAAGAGGATTCTTGGCTACGGTGGAAAGACGAGCGCATACGGTGCAATTCGCATGGAAAGGGATTTCAACGCCATAGTGGACGTGGTCTCGCGAGGCAACTATAGTGTCAAGGAAGTGTTTAGCAGGGTGACACAGCTGCTCATGGTTGCGAACATGGAAGACGAGGAATGGGATGAAATAGTTGCTCAGGACGGAGAGGATGGCATCGACTGGGTCCTGACAGAAGACGAAAAGCGACGAGCGAGGAGTTTGGTAAGGGGTTAAAAAAAGAAAAAGGGCATGTGTAGTATATGAGCCAGATGCATGGTAGTGATTTAGGTGGATTTGCTGAGTGTGTTGAGTTTGCTGGCAGCACTCAGTGTTGGTGACATACGGTATATAGACAGACATATGCACTCAACAAGGCAAAAAAGAGTTATAGAAGAGTGTTAGACAGCAAAAACTACAGCATTTGGATTGTCACAGCCTGAGTGAGAACTAAAAAGTTTTTCTTTCTTTTAGAGCCTTTGTCTCCTGCTAACGCACATCTACAGTGCAGTTAGATGTCAGTGGCTCAGCAGTCCTCGGAGTGGCGTCGGAATCACTACTAATGCACGTCTGATTCAACGTGTAAGCCGCCAGATGAAATTTTCCGCCCACCCTACAATTTCATACGGCGAAACCGGCACAATATATAATTCATGAGTCTTCACAGCTTTTCACCCACTCATATATCCAGCTGAAACTGCCATAATTTCTTATTCATTCTGAGTACCATCTCACAGCCAAAGACTGAAAGTGCATTCACAAAATATCATATTTTACCCCGCCACCTTCGTCATAATTTCCCTACGTCAACTTCACCACCGAGGCTTGCCTCGAGCACTTACAACTTCGAGATCTTCACTCTCTCGCACCCTGGCAAACACTCGCATGATAGCCACCATGGAGACCAGAATAGTAAAAGTTGCCCCCGGCAAGGGTACTCAGCTTGGCCGCTTCGAAGCCTCTTCTGGAACCTCAAAGGTCGAAGAATGGCGCATCTTGCCCGAAGCAAAAGATGCTGTCGCCGCTCTGGAACAGGCAGCAAACTATCTCAAGACCAGCGACACGCCCGTGGCCTTTCCAACGGAGACAGTCTACGGTCTTGGAGCAGACGCAACTCGCAGCGGCTCTGTTAAGGGCATCTACGCCGCAAAGGGCCGGCCGTCGGACAACCCGCTGATTGTGCACGTTGCGGACCTTCACATGCTGCGGGAGCTGCTGGGCAAGGAGAGGGACGACGAGGAGGCGATTCCGAGCAGGTATCGGACGCTGATAGACCGGTTCTGGCCGGGTCCTTTGACGATACTGCTGCCTAACCCGCAGCCTTCGCAGCTGGCGCCGGAAGTTACTGCTGGACTCACGACTTTTGGGGCCAGGATGCCGTCGTCGCCGTTGGCTTTGAGTCTCATTAAACTTGCGGGCGTGCCTTTGGCTGCGCCCTCAGCAAACGCCTCGACGAAGCCGTCACCCACGGCAGCGCAGCATGTTAAGGATGATCTGGATGGGCGGATTGAATTCATCCTCGATGGAGGCCCGTGCCAGGTTGGCGTTGAGAGCACCGTTGTGGACGGCCTCTGTGAACCTCCTGTGGTGCTGCGTCCAGGAGGCATCGGTTTGGAGGAGCTTCGAAGCTGTCCTGGCTGGGAGAACGTAGTCAAGGCCTACAAGGATCACAGTGAAGAGGGAAAAGCAGCGCCGAGGGCACCGGGAATGAAGTACAAGCACTACAGCCCCAAGGCAAGGGTGGTGCTCTACGAGTCTACGTACAAGGACGGCTTTGATGGCGTTTTACCGTCCGACATTGGAGTTACTGGCGCTACAGAGAACGGCAATACTCAGAAAACCAACGGCCATTCATCAAAGAGAATAGGTGTCATCCGGACACAGCGGTGGAAGTCGGGAGCGGGCCTTGAGTGCGGCGCTTTACAGCCTGCTCCCGTCGACTCAGACGCTCACGACGACGAGTATCTCAACCCTGCATATCAGGTATATAAGGGTGATCTCAAGAACAGCCAGGGAGAGGTCATCGGCGAGCTTTTCGACATAGACCTAGGACAAGACACCAAGAGGATAGCCCAGGGGCTGTTCTCTGCTTTGCGGGAGTTGGATCGACGAAACATAGACACGATTTTTGTAGATGGCATAGAAGGCGAGCTGGATATTGCCGCTGCCGTTATGAATCGCCTGCGTAAGGCGGCTTCGGAGATTAGGTCATGAGAGAGAGAGGCAATGCTGGAATAGAACCAAAAGAGGAAGATGCATAGATTCGTTATACCCCTGCCCTGTATATAAACCGATCTCGCGTTTCAAGGAATAAAGAAAAAAGACGAGGAATAATCAACTATAAACGGTAATCTTTTAGTGCAACAGACCGCTGTGAACGACATTAACTCCAACCAATTCCCAGGTCTTTGTATTTACAGCCCCTGGCGAAGCCAATCTGTGAGCTTCGACTTGCCGAGCTGCGCCAGGTTGTTAACACCCTGTTCGCTGAAGTCGATGCGGCCCAGGGGAACATCCTGGGTGGGCGCACGGCTGACCCGCTGGACGATGATGGTAGGGTCGGTCTCCAGGATGATGCCATCGTCGACAATTTCATCAATAGCCAGCGAGACGAGGTCGTAGTTTTCGACAATGGTCCTCTTATCAACAGATTGCCTGGCTTGGGCATTAGTAAGACGTTTCCAGCGACAGGCTCGGAGGGTACCGACTTAAACAGGAGGTGAAGAGAATCACGAAGAGCCAGAACAGTGTTGTAGAGCAGAATCTCGTTCTCGTCGGCGGCACCGACCACGTAGAGCATGACGTCGGACTCCATCTTGTACAGGACAATCCGGTTGTCGTAGAGGATGATGTCGCCCGTCTGCTTGGCGGTCTTGTCAATAAGGCCCTTCTCGAATGCCTTCTGCGCCTTCAGATCGGTATACGGGTGGCTCGATGTGCTTGCGCTGCCTATTAAATAAGCTCGCCGTCAGCAATTGCGCACGCAACAAATACTCGGGGCGCAAGCTGTCTGTCCAGCTCATTATCTACGGGGATTCGTATGCGTACCAGAGGGAGCGGCGTGAGGCGGAGAAAAGTACTTGGCGAATATTCTAGAGCCATCCTCAGTGCCGAGGATGAGGATTGCCTGAACGGCGAAAAGGGTCATTCCAGGAGACATCTTGGCGGTTGGGCGGATGTGATGCTGCGATGATAGCGATACCAGGTTCAAGCTCCGACTCGCAACGGCTTCACCTAAAGGTGTCCCCCCAAAACGAGCCCCTCCAAAAACGGCAGGCCTCGGCCCAACCTTTCGCCGCTCCGGCCCTTAACGCGTGCCTGCCGCTAGAGTCGCGTCTTGGAAAAGCACTTTACGCGTCTTGCAAGGGAAATTGGGCAGAAAACGCGACTCCACCGCCCTGCCCTCGCAATTGCCCCTCGTTTTTGCCGTAGCTTTTGCCCAAACCCCCAGCTCTGGCAAAATTCCCAGCTCGTTTTGGAACCATCGCCAGCCTCACATCCCTGCCCCCATTGCACCCGCTCCAAGATGTCGACGCCAAACCGAAGGCAGAGGGACTCGCAATCTGCGACGCCTCGTCGCTCAACGCGGCATTCTGAGGCTGGAACCCCCGCGCAATTGGTGTCCAGCCCGCTCTTCTATCAGTCCTCGCCGGCTCCTACACAAGGCATCGATGAGGTCATGGGAGATGTTTCGTCGCCTCTGCGGCAGATGTCTAATAGCCAGAGCACGCAGCCTACCAATGGGCATGCGCCGAGCTCACCGTTGAGGCAGATGACTGATACTCAGTCGACTGGCCAACGAACTCCCCGAGCCAGTGCTGGCCTTGCTGGAGGTATGCTTTACTATATGAAGATGTACAGACATACAGACTTGGGGTTCATGCTTACCGTTGAATTCACATAGAATCTTCTCCCATTCGATACGAACCTAGCTCTAGTCCTGGCCGGACCCCGAGGCTGCACTCGGATCTGCGCAGCGAAAGCAGTGGCCTCTTTGTTGGCTCCAGCCGTGGCACGCCTTACAGACGTGGAGACATCAACTCAGACACCGTCAGAACGCCGCGTGCTCCTCGACATGTTATCCTGGACGAAGCAGGACGAGTAATGAGGGAGGGTCAAGCTCCCGGTTCCGACGCTGCCTCTTTCGCGAACCGAGATCCCAATACTTCTGAGGCCGATCATCTGGGTGGCGCCGGCCAAAGTCTCATCTGGGGTACTACTGTGTCCATTGACGATACCTTTGCCACTTTCAAAGACTTTTTGCGACATTTTACGCTCAAGTACCGCATGTACAGGGACGGTCTTACGGATGCCGAGGTGCATGCTGCCCCCGACGCCGAATCCAAGCCTTATTGGGAGGCTCTGCAGAACATGCTACTGCTTGGCACGACCAGACTTTACCTCGACATTTCGGATTTGAATCTCTACCCACCAACAAGGAAGCTATGGCATCAGATCCAAGCCTACCCTCAGGAAGTAGTCCCTGTCATGGACCAATCTGTTCATGATTTGATGCTTGACATTGCTCAGGCTGAAACGATGAGAAACCGGCCTTCACAAAGCAGTGCCGGACAGCAGGCTTCTCAACGAAGCACCCAAGGCTCTGAGCCTGTATTTCCTAGCTCTGACAGGCCTGATGAGGGCATCACTCCTACACCCCGTCCTCGAGACGAAGAGCCCACTTTGGAAGATCAAGTGGCATCTTCACTTTACGTCGTGCGTCCGTTTGGTCTTGATAACATGACTAACTTGAGAGACCTGAACCCTTCTGGTAAGTACCTTGATATTTGTTAACCTGGCCAAGCGAGGAACGAAAAATCATAGCTAATACGTATTAGATATGGACCGCCTTGTATCTATCAAGGGCCTTGTTATCCGTACCACACCCGTGATCCCCGACATGAAAGATGCCTTCTTCCGCTGCAACGTCTGCAATCACTCTGTTAACGTCGGGTTGGACAGGGGTAAGATTCGAGAACCTACCGAATGTCCTCGTCCCATGTGCGCTTCCAAGAACTCGATGCAAATCGTCCACAACAGGTGCTCATTTGAAGATAAACAAGTCATTAAGCTTCAAGAGACCCCAGACAGCATCCCCGCCGGGCAGACGCCCCATTCCGTCTCCGTGTGTGTCTACAACGAGCTTGTTGACTTCTGCAAGGCCGGTGATCGCGTCCAGTTGACTGGCATCTTCCGCGTCAGTCCTGTGCGAGTGAACCCGCGACAAAGGGCCATCAAAAGCATATACAAGACTTATGTGGATGTCTTGCACGTTCAAAAAGTCGACAAGAAGCGCCTTGGAGCTGACACATCCACACTTGGTGTAGAAGGTGAAGATGAAGCGGAAACAGGCAAAGAGGAACTGGAAGAGACCCGTCGCATTACGGCTGAGGATGAGCTCAAGATCCGAGAGACGTCACGTCGCCCTGACATTTACGAGCTCCTTGCCAGATCACTGGCTCCTTCGATTTATGAAATGGACGATGTCAAGAAGGGTATCCTGCTGCAGCTCTTTGGCGGCACCAATAAGACCTTCCACAAGGGTGGCAGCCCCAAGTACAGAGGCGACATCAATATCCTCCTCTGTGGTGACCCATCTACGTCTAAGTCGCAAATGCTAACATATATCCACAAGATCGCTCCTCGTGGTGTTTATACAAGTGGCAAGGGTTCTTCGGCTGTGGGTTTGACTGCATACGTCACTCGTGATCCCGAGACGAGACAGCTTGTTCTCGAATCAGGTGCTTTGGTACTATCTGACGGAGGTGTTTGCTGCATTGACGAGTTTGACAAGATGAACGAATCCACTCGGTCTGTCCTTCACGAAGTGATGGAGCAGCAGACTGTGTCAATAGCCAAGGCCGGCATTATCACCACGCTCAATGCCCGAACCAGCATCCTTGCTTCTGCCAACCCCATCGGCAGTCGCTACAACCCCGACCTGTCCGTTCCTCAAAATATCGACCTTCCACCTACCTTGCTTTCCCGTTTTGATCTCATCTATCTGATCCTTGATCGAGTCGACGACAAGGCGGATCGTCGGTTGGCAAAGCATCTTTTGTCCATGTACCTGGAGGACAAGCCTCAGTCGGCACCCACCAGCAACGACATCCTCCCTGTCGAGTTCCTGACTCTATACATCTCATATGCCCGCTCCAACATTCAGCCCGTGATTTCAGAAGAGGCAGCCAAAGAGCTTGTCGACAGCTATGTCGCCATGCGCGCTCTCGGTCAGGACGTCCGCGCCGCAGAGAAGCGCATTACAGCCACCACTCGACAGCTCGAAAGCATGATCCGTCTCGCCGAAGCCCACGCCAAGATGCGTCTGTCCGAGACCGTAACGAGGGACGACGTTCAGGAAGCTTACCGCCTCATTCAGTCTGCCCTTAAGACTGCCGCTACCGACTCTGAGGGCAGAATTGACATGAGCCTGCTCACTGAAGGAACCAGCACTGCCGAACGGAAGCGCCGCAGCGAACTCAAGGACGCGGCACTCCGGCTGCTGGATGAGATGACTGCTGGCGGAAACACGGTCCGATGGAACGACGTGTCCAGGAGGCTGGCTGAATCTTCGAGCGTGCCCATTGAGACGGCGGAGTTTAATGAAGTAATGAGAGCGTTGGAGGCCGAGAATGCCATCATGGTGTCTGGCGAAGGTGCGAGAAAGAGTGTTCGGAGAGTTACGGCTGTTGTTTGAAGAAGTTTCTCAGGGATTTTTAAGGGAAGAAAATTTGGGTTTACTGGTTTTTGTTATGAATTCGGGGCACGCAATTGTTTCTGATGACCAATTTGAAAAGGAGATAGAATGCTAGATAATCTAATGCAAGACAGCTTGAGTCATTCTTAATTCAAAATCACATGAGAGCATGAAATCTTGCATTTTCGTTTGAGAAAAAGAGCCAAATAGAAGGAAAAAATATGAGAGAATGAATTCAAACAAGTTGTTATCCTAAAATAATAAGAAAAGCTCAACTCCTCGTCCAGTCCTCTCTCGCCTGTTCACCACAATTACTATCCAACTTTACAAGTGAAATATACTTCCATCTACAGTGGAACACTGGACGCGCGTATTATACAATCTTGATCTAGCCGCAATATACAGATGTGGCGTCCTTTCTTTACCAGTACTTTCTCTCTCGGCCTTCATATACAAAATTGGCCCCGACAGCCACAAACAGAGCAACGCAGAGCACACTAGGTCCCCAGCGGTCGTAGTAGCGAGCAGCCTTGCGGTTGCGAATGGATCGGCTTCGGTAGAGATAGATGCCCACGGAGTAGAGAAGGCTGAAGATAGCCAAAAACGTGAAAATTCCAGCGATCCAAAACGCAGTCGGGGTAGGGTGCTCTCCAAAGTTGAGAAGAGTAGTGGCAATAGTTCCAATGTAAATCGAATATTCAATCTGGACACAGAAAGTCAGTAAAAAAACAAATTCAAGATATGATATAGCAGGATTTGGTGAATGTGTTTCAACATACCCATCCAAGGAACGTCCTCTCGGCGGCAAAATACACCTTGGGCTCTACGCGAACCGGAACGTAAATCTTCTTGCCCGGAGGCGCTTTAAACCTCTTGTTTTGGATCGTGCTGTTGCGGAAGAGCGTTGTCAGTCTGTCAGACCGAGGGATTTCGCTTCCGTGGGGATGCGGAATGACGTATTTCAAGACGCTCCAAGCACCAGAGGCCGCGGCACTGGCCTTTGTTGAGAAGAGGACGCGATAGTAGTGCCAGCCACCGACTCTGCGGGCCTCTTCCAGCTCGTAGTTTTCGTCGTACTCGTCGTCAGAGTCGTAGATGGGGTAGTCTTCGTTTGCAGTTGGCAAGTCAACCGTCTGGCCTTCCATGTCGGTGGCAGGGCCACGAAGCCTAGCGCCGTGTCTGCTAGACTCGCCATTACCGGCACCGCGACGGACAGCATCCAACTCCTCGTCATCAGAATCGAGCTCTTCTTCTTCGTCATCTGACGTCGTCGTCGTTCCAGAAATATCAGGTCGGCGGATGCCAAAGTCGTGGGTAACGGGCTTGCGGATATCGACATCCATCTGGGGCATCCAGAAAGGAAGAAGCTTGATACGGTTAGGGAACAGGCTGGCAGTGCCGTGGATGAATTTGGAAAACTTGGGGACAGCCTCCACCAGATGAGACGAGATGAGCTGTCTGATCCACTCCGGCGGCTCCTGTCCAACCTGTGTCTGGAGCTTCACCTCAAGAATGGCGTAGGGGAAGCGAACGACATCCTCAGGAGGCAGCTGCGAAAAGGGGTAGTCGACTCCAATATCCATGCGTCTCCAGTTGTCACCAGAGCGAGCACGGCCATCCAGGTTGTCCTCTCGAACCATGGTCAGCTCAGTATCCAGAGAAATTCGCACACGAGCATCCGCAGGCAGCTGGAAAGCGGTTCGGTTGTAGAAAGAGCGGCAGACAGGCTTGTATCCGCGCTTCAGCACGGAGTACTGGATTTCTGCAGCAAGTCTCTCGTCCTCGGCAATGGCCTTTTCCGATTTCTTGCCCTCCTTGCGAGCCTTTTCAAAGATGGCAGCGGGCAGCAGCTCGCCCTTCATGTAGGCATTGACATTCTTCTCTTTAATAGAAAATCGAGCCTTGACCGACTTCTCTCCAGTCCAATCCTCTCGATGAGTTTTGCGCTCCACGAAGATGGTCTCAGTCTTCATGCCACCATACCATCGAAGTCGAATAGCCTCTGCACCTTCGGTCTTCTTCAGACGGCCCTCGTAGAGATCCCACTTCTCGGGATTATCGTAGTAGATGGATGTGATGGCCTGGTCCTGCTGCTCAAACTCCTTGCTAGCATTAAAAACCAAGACAGGCAAGTGCTTGAGGATAATGAGCTTGAGTTCCGTCACATTGTCGGGATGCACCCAGTATTTGGTCGTCTGTCGGATAAAGCTGGCCTGGGAGCCACCGGCCGCGCTGTCGCCCTTGACTGGGTTACCTCTTGTTCGGACAAGATCATACAGCTTGGACAGCTTGATGACGGAGGCGTCGTAGTTTTCCTTGTAGAAGGGCTTGGCCTTGAGCCTGGTATCGAAAGCGGGACGGAGGTGCCATCCAGTCAATTTCTATTACACCGCATCAGTTAGCAAGGCTACAACAGACAGCCGCAGACCAAAGAAAAGAGTTTGCCCACATCGTGCTTCTTGATAATCTTGTAAAAGCCAGTGTAATTGAGCTGGACAAATTTGGCCAGGTCGTGGACATCGGCAATGATGTCACTCAGGTCCTCCTCCAGCAGCAAGAATTCCTCCTCGCTGGGTCCATCTTCGCCGAGGCCGCGCTCGTTCAACCGGTTGACAACGTCCTTGACCTCCCGCTCGCTGACGGCAATGCGGCGGGAAATCTCCATGGCCTTGACCTGCTGCTTGGTGTGAACCTTTTCGAGCTCCGTCTCCAGCTTGCCCACGAAGCGCGTCTCGTCATCCTCGGTCCACTCCTTGTGGCCGGAGCCATTCGCGGCCAGAGGGCCTGTAGCATCCCTCAGCTCGCCCTTGAGGCCATTGTAGTCGATGTAGTACCACTGGTACTCTCGGATGATGCTTGACCGCAACTGCTCGCCGAACTTCATGACGACGACGCCCGGACCGACTTGGGAGGTTTTACCACGAGGTCGGAGGGCTGTCCAATTCTTGTCGATGGCCTTTAAATCTTTCGCAATCAGCATGGGGGCACGGGCTAGCGAGCTCTAACAACGATAGTCGCAGGCGACGGAAAACGCAATGGCTGGGATCGAGTCCAATTGACGACAGCAAAACAGGGACGATGCGATGCGAAAAGCGAGAAAATCAAGGAACGCGATGCAGGCTTTTGTCGGTGCCGTTTCCGAGGCGGGAACTCACCTTGCAGATGGGGCAAGGATGCTGCAGCGAATAAAAAGATGCCGGCAGGGTGGATGCGACGAATCGTATCCTTTGCTCGAGGCAAAAAAAAAAGCAAGACGCAGCCAAATATCAGCTCACAATACTTTGAATTTTTCTTCCTCTTCTTTGCTTGGATGCTGCAAGAGGAAATAGTTCCAGACCCCTTTGAATGCCGTCTGAACCTTGGTTCGAATCGAAAACCCCACCGACGGGCTAATCTTCAGCTGCTTTGGGCGAATCACGGTGACCAACTTGGCAACGTGAAGGCGGTTCCAGCGGCCCACAGCGGGCTACAGCGCTGAATCGACGTGCGTACGGAGTTCGGGTTGCGCCCAGATCCACTGGAGCTTCAAAGGCTACAGAAGGTTGCCCCACTACACGAGCAGCTAGCCGGCGAAATCTCAGCGCCATTGTTGAGCCGAAGTTAGCGGCAGGCCGCTAGAGCAATCGATCAAGCATCGACTAGCATCAATTGATTGCTTAGCTGGATGACCGCATGCAACGGGCTGGGTGGGGCAATGCGAGCAATCAATTTGATCCCAATTTTTTTTTTTACGTTTGGTGATTGCATGCAGTGCAGATGGTATTTTGTCAGTGAAAGTTTAAACGATTTGACAAGTACCCGGTACAGGTAATTACGCTGATTAGATTCGAGAGTACTAAGAGAAGGTACGAGTCTACATCCATATCCTGTTCCGGCTAATACCAGACATCAATGATGCCAAAAGCTAGACCCTTACTGAAACAAAAACCTCCATATAGATATCCATATATATACCCCTCCATCCATATCAATATCCTTTCCCCATCATGCCGGCGCCCATTGACGACTCCCTCGAGGCCAGAGTCTCCCCCGAGTGTCCCCAAGAGACTCGCGATGTCCTCTACCACGCATGGGGCCACGACCTGAGCGGCCTGAAGAAGCTCGTCAACGACCGCAGCAAGGCCAGCCTCCAGGACCCCAAGACCGGCGAGACCCCGCTCCATGCCGCGATCCGCGCCTGTGGCCCGGCCGACGAACCGAGCGGCGAGGAAGAAGATGAGGGCGAGGATGGGTGTGTGGAAGAGGCTCGCGAGGTTGTGAACCAGCTCTTCTTCTCCGGCGCCATCTGGAACGATGTCGATGCCAATAATGAAACGCCCGCCTGCGTGGCCTATCGTCTCGGCCGAAAGACCCTGTATAACCTCTGCGTTGATGCCGGCGTTCGCGCAGAGATCCTCCTTGCCCTGATGGACGGCTACGAAGAGCTCTCCTCCGGCGGAGACGACGAAGATGACGACGAGACTATGCAAGACCAGGAGCAAGAAGCCGCTACTGACGAAGCAAAGGCCCAAGACGGCGAAGTCGTCGAGGCGGCAGAGCCCCTCAAATTCGTCCCTCCCGATGCCAACGAGAAGCCCGTCACAAGCGAAGAGTACCTGCAGTCCGACCTCACCTACGACGACAACAAGCTCCTCGACTCAGACCTCAACGGCGTCATGATGGCCTGGGAAACGGACATCATGCGCCGCTCCGTCGCCGCGCTCATCCCCGACGCGCAGCCCGGCAAGCGCATCCTCAACATCGGCTTCGGCATGGGCATCATCGACGGCATGTTCGCCGAGCTCAAGCCCTCAAAACACCACATCATCGAGGCGCACCCCGCCGTCCTGAAGCACATCTCCAGCCCTGAGTCCAAGTTCGGAGCCTCATGGGAGAAGAGCGGGCCCGAGGAAGGCGCTTACAAGGTCTTTGGCGGTAAATGGCAGGAAGCCGTTCTCCAGCTCCTTGAGCAAGGGGAACTTTACGATGCCATCTACTTTGATACCTTTGGAGAAGACTATTCGCAGCTTCGCATGTGCTTCATGGAGTACGTCCCCGCGCTGTTGGATCAGGAAGGCCGTTTCAGCTTCTTCAATGGGCTTGGTGCGGATCGTAGGGTATGCTACGATGTATACACAAAGGTTGTGGAGATGCACTGTGCCGACGCGGGCCTGGATGTAGAATGGGAGGAGAGCGACGTTGACATGGCGAAGCTCAACCAAGACGGTGAAGGAGAATGGGAGGGCGTTCGACGACGATACTGGACATTGGATAGTAAGACCCCCAGCCCTAGTTGCGCATATAGGTACGGGATGGCTAACATTGAACAGAGTATCGACTGCCTGTGTGCACTTTTATGGGTTAAAGCGAACAAGATAGACTTCAATCAGATACCCCAGGCGCAATACTTGCTGAGCATCATCAATAAAAAAAACAAATTATATTTTAGTCTTCTTTTCTGGCTATAATCTTTAGGTACCTCAGGCTCAAACAAAATGCTCAGGGTGCAGGATACCAGCCAAGTTGCCAGCCTTGGCACGCTTGAGGGTCAAAGCAGCAATCAGAGCAGCTCCGACACCGCTACCGTCCTCGGCCGCCAGAATCTCGACTGGGTCGTCCTCCTTGGGGTTAGCCTTCTGAGGCCAGTCGAGAATCTCGCGCAGGGCTTGTGCGCCACGGGCCTTGAAGTGAGGGTACTTGTTGAAGACGGATCCGTCAGCACCGACATGGCAAGACTCGTAGTTCTTCTTCTTGCAAATAGCCGCGACACCGCAGGCAGAGAGCCTGGCAGCTCGTGTTCCGATGAGCTCTGCCAATCTGCGGACCAGCTCAAGCTCCGGCACCGTAGGCTTGATGTTGAGCTTCGACTGGAAAGTATCGTACGTCTCCTGAAGGTTCTCGAAGGGGTCCCTAGATGGTTTATTAGTCTCCGTGTAATAATCGCCAATGTGAAGTCGTAAGTCTTACTCTTCAATTCCAGACAGGAAAGATGAATCCAGAGTGTAAGGTCTGCGGAGCAAGGAGATGTCCTGGTTCTCAAAGACATGGACCTCCTTGTTATCATGCAGGTCGACCAGGACCAATCGGAAGATCTCGCCCAGATAGAGACCAGCAATCATCTTCTCGAATGCCTGCTGGCCAGGACGAGGAGAGTCGTTGTCGATTGAGATGTCGTACTTGGTGCGAGGCAAGACTTTGTGCTCGTTGTCAAAAGCACCCCACTCGCAGTTAATAGCCATGGGGCAGTCAGGGGGGAGGTTCATGTTCGCCAGCTTGGGGATGGAGCCGCAGTCCTCCATGTAGGCGGCATTGCATCCAGTTCCGAAGATGCAGCCAATCTTCATCTTGGTGTCGGTGTATGCGGAAGCAATCAATGTTCCCGTTGTGTCGTTGATCAAAGCCGACAGTTTAATGGGGACACCCTGTCATATAATGCGTGAGCAAGTCTCCTTTGGTCATGCCCAAGCTGAGGCGTCATAGGCGTCACTTACACGCTTAGCGATAGCAGCCTCAAACATTGGCACGACATTGTGTCCTTCAACGCCGGCAATATCGAATCCTTTGGTCCAGCGCTGCAGGATACCCTCGTCGATGTGATGCTGAGTGGCCGGATAGGAGAATGTGAAACCAAGAGGTAGCGGTTCCAGCTTGCTGCAGTCGCCGTGGTGAGTCTCGACGAACTGGTGAAGGCAGTCTGCAATGTACTCCCATAGCTCCTCGCTGGATCCAGTCTTGAGCTCCTCTGGCATGCGGTACTTGGACTGAATAATGTCAAACTCCGACTTGCGGTCTGTTAGAGTGATCTCGCAGACACGCAGATTGGTTCCACCCATATCGAGAGCCAAGAAAGAGCCAGTCTCGTACCCATCAGGGTAGGACATGACCCAGGTAGGGTTCATTGGCTATACGTTTTGTTAGAACGGCCTGCATTCATTCCCAAAAGGCATTTTTACGCACGATGCTGCCACCCTCGACACTGAGACCTTGGAAGCCAAAAGTTAGCATGCATGACGACGAGGATCAGCACGATCAGCACGCGGTGGCACCATACCTTTGGCAAGTTCATTGACGAAGTGGTCAGTAATCTCCTTGAGCTTGCTGGTGTCGACGGTGAAGATTTCCTCCAGCTTTCGGACTTCATTGAGAAGATCCTTAGGGATATCCGCCTTGGAGCCTAGCACAATGGTGGTCAGCATTTCTGCAACAAGTCTGACAAAGATCTGGCTCTCCGAATGCTAATGGTGAAGAAGAAGAGCAGGTACAAAAAGGACCGAAGGACCGCCAAGTCTCTATAAATGATCTTTTTGAAGAATATTTGTGTCACGACGCGGTTCTTGGGGCCAGATTGAGTGTCTGTGTAACTTTCCGATGACGTTGCAGCGGGACGATCCAATCCTTTGCATTGCTTATCCAACAACTTGCCAAGGCGTGCAGTGCAAGACACTTTGGCCATTGAAGGCTAAGCACGCCTCACTCATGTCTTTCCGATGCAGCGTAGACAATGGCCCAAATACATCAATCGTGTCGACGTTCTGATACCCGCAAAACTCCCTGTCTTAGGCAAAGATAGCCTGATATCGGGAAGCGCGGGCATCACAAGAAGTTTGCAGAGCAACAGCAGGTTGCCAGTCCCCCTTGATCGCCGATTAAGTAGATTTGAGAGAGGGGAAGTGGGAATACAAAGGCCGTGCAACACCAAGACCTAGGACATGTGCATTTCGACGTACCCTTTCTCGAAGGAGGCGGGCGAGGTCCAAGTCCGACCATTTTTACAGCTTGATCGCGGGGTCTGGCGGGGTAGCTGGGAGTGTAGAGGGAGGTCCCCTGGGAGATGCGTATGGCAGTCAAGCACACGCAGTGAGTGAAGAGGTACGAGATGGATTGTTCGCAGGCGGCAATCCAATTGTCGAGGTGGAAAGAGATTGTTGGCAGAGGAAAATCGCAAGAACACCAAGGCCAAGGTCAGAAGCAAAGGGAAGCAGGTTGGAGCTATAAAGGCTTCCCAAGGTTGGGTAGCTGGGTCCCCTAGCCTGCAATTCCAGTTCTGGTTGGCTGCCGAAGACGGGCAAACGGGCTTGAACTGGCTGCCCAGCTGTTATACCGGTACTGTACGAGTTAGGCTTTGCTCCCAGCGCTGTGTTAGTGGCTGTTTGCCCCATCCAACCGGTACACGGGCTTCTAGGCAGCCCATTAACGAACAAGCCGGATCATCGCATACCAACTTGATGAGCGTTTTAACTGGAACCACGTAGTTCTGCAATGGCATGTATTTCTGCAGGAAATCAATTTTGCAGTGTCATCAATACGAATATTTTTAATTGTATCCTTGTTTTCCTTTCCAATTCTTCGTTACCATCTCTGAAAACCCACGTGCAGCATCTAGTAGGCTGTTTCCGTCTTCTCGGATAGCCTTTCAAAGCACTGCCGGTAGATTCTAGTGCGTGCGATCCTGCTTGTCCTCGCAGACAAATAAACTCGATGCACCGCTTATCGTCATTTCTCCACTTCTTTTTGCCTCCCATGGACGCCCAAAGACTTACTAGAGAGCTCCAGCAGGGCGTTTCGTTAATACCAGGAGGTGCCCTACGTCCTTGGAGACGGAGGTGGAGGTGTCTTGGCCGCCACAAGTATGGGGTACTCCGTTCTCGGTGGGCAATTCACCCGGGCTGCCTGTAAGCGGTACATATTCCGAGGCCCGGAAATTAATATCGCCGCGACAAGCACCAGCGTGGCCTCTGGTTGGCTAGCCCCAAGCTTCCCTGTAGCTGTTCGCTATCGTTATCGAATGGGCGACGTATGCTTCTTGGCTTGCACTAACAGAGCGAAGCTGCCACAGTCTCGCGATCGAGAGACAGAAGTCTGTTGAACCTCCCGTCCCATTGCGCAGGGCACGCCCAATCAATGCCCTCGTCAAGATGAAGTCGTTGTCAGTAATAGCAGCGCTGCTGGGCCTTTTGGCCGCTGGTCCTTGCAGCGCCTTTTCCACCGTCGCTCTGCCTGCCAACTTCAAGCCCCCACCAGTCTTTAAGAACAATATGTTGGTGCACGTCATTTCGGTTGAGAAGACCTACGCAAAGGAGCAGATCAATGTCATGTTGGAGAACATCTCCGACAAGCCTCAAAGCGAATACTTTTTGCCCTTTACCGCGGAACAAATTGCCCGAGTTGGTGCCGTCGAAGCCAAGGATCGCAAGGATGACACTGTTGGACCCTTTGGAGTTGACCTGGTTGAATACGATGCTCTCAAGTATGTGCAGTCACTTTCTAACACCCAATTGAAAGGGGAACGTTGTTGCTAATCAATGTGCCTATAGTGACGTCCAGTACTACCGCATTACACTGCCCTCACCTCTCAAGGCTGGCGGCCAGTACCCTCTCGCCGTCTCTTGGGTATACCTAAACTCATATCGCCCACTCCCGGCCTCCATTGGCCAGGACGAGCAGCAGTTCCTGGTGTACGACTTCTCCCTCTTCGCGCCATCGGCTTATACGACCTTGAAGCAAAAGACCGAGGTCAAGTTCTCAACCGTTACCATCCCAGACTACACGACGACATTCGGCCCCGAAGGCCAGGAGTATCCTCAAAAGGTTGGCAGCAAGATGCTATATGGACCCTTTGACGAGCAGCCTGCCGGCGCTTTCTTCCCCGCGCAGGTCAGATTCGAGTTTACCAAGCCCGTGATCCACGTGTCTACTCTCGAGAGAGATATCGAGGTCAGCCACTGGGGTGGCAACGTTGCCTTTGAGGAGAGATACACTCTGTACCACCTGGGTGCCAACCTCTCTACCCAATTCAACCGTGTCAAGTGGGCGCAATCTCAGTTCTATAACCCTGCTTCCACCGCCTTGAAGGAGCTCAAGTTCCCTCTTCAGATCGGGAGCGTCGACCCTTACTTCACAGACGCCATCGGAAACGTGTCAACCTCTCGATTCAGGAGCAGCAAGCGAGAGGCCATGCTGGAGCTGAAGCCACGTTATCCCGTGTTTGGCGGCTGGAAGTATCCGTTTACCATTGGCTGGAACACCAACGCTGCTAACGTCTTGCGCAACACTGCCGATGGAGGCCATGTGCTCAAGATTCCCTTTTTCGAGGGACCCAGGCAGGCTGAGGGTGTAGAGTACGGCGAAGTCAACGTCCGAGTGCTCTTGCCCGAGGGATCTGAGTAAGCTTTCCCCCAAATTTACATAAATCTGCAGCTAACAAGAGAGCCAGAAACGTCAAATACTACACCAGCATTCCCGACTCATCAATCGTTGAATCATCCGTTGATGTTCACAAGACGTATCTCGACACCATTGGCCGGACATCCGTGACCATCAAGGCCAAGAACCTGGGAGATGAATTCCGATTCCGTGATCTGATCATCACTTACGAGACTCCGTTGGCTGGCACCCTCCGCAAGCCCGTGGTGGTCTTTGCAAGCATGCTTGCAGTTTACGCCGCCGCGTGGGCTCTTGGAAAGGTGCAAGTGGGATTCTCATCCAAATAAAAATCATCAGGGTTAAATCTATAGCTCTTTTTGGGTTGCCGTATTTGTCGGATAAAAAAAGGAAATCATGGATGTGTAGGAAGATGTGTCATTAAGTGGGCGTTTAAGAGCATGCACGATCTGGCAAAATGATAGATGCAATGTGTAGATGCATGGCGCGCCAGATCTTAGCCTGCTTGCAGTAGCAGTATAGCGAGCCAGTGGTAGAATTTCAAGCAAGATTCTGTTTTTTCAGTTAATGTCACTATTTCAGCATCGCACATCATAGCAGCAAATCTGTATGTAGCTGTATGGTGATGTTGACGATGGCATCTTGTCCAGCTCCTCATTGGACAATCTTGGACCTACAAGCATTGTGATGACGCCATTAGCGCCTCGCGATGATGGTACGAGCATGGATTGATCCTTCAAGCTGCGAGCCAAGACGAAAAAGCCCAATTAAGCAGATGCCTCACTTATTCGACTCGATACCGTGAAAAATGCGTCAGCTCAGCCTCAAGGCTGCTTAGATTTCGGCAAAGGCGAGAAAGCAGCGTGAAGAAAACGATGAGGCTGTGCCGGTAGCAAAGACTCACACTCACACCTTTTTTTTCCAGGTCCCAGGTGTCTTTAGCATTGACGTCTCCATCCTTGAGAAGCCAAATGCCCTGCGTCGGCTCGTACGTGCAGATGGTGGAGTGGCGCAGGGCGCTGAGGACAGGGATTAGAAACTTGGCCACGGGATCGAGACAAAAGGCAGTGGGTGTGTCGTGCCCGAGCTGTATTTATTTAAGGAAACGGGCGTCTTCCCCTTGTGCCAAAAGAAGCTTTATTCATCCTTATTTCGTAAGCTGCAGCGTCTCGTACAAGAAACCGTTCGTTTTCCTCTCTACACACACACAGTCAAATCTGTCAAACAACACAACAAAAAAGCGTCAACACAGAGATCCAATCGCCAGATCTAGAGCTTCTGTGCTACCCAGTCCAACAATTGCACAAAGCGACACAAGAAAGCCTACAAACAATGTGTTTCCGCGTGGAGCCAAAGGCCAAATACTACTACCAGGAGGAAATCATTCCTTCACGGCCGTACCGCCATCATCACCACCACACCACCCATCACCACCACTCGCCGCGAGCGAGCTACTCGGCGGTTGAGCGCTACAGCCCGCGGGTCAGCACCAGCAGCTACAGACGCAGCATGCCGTCGAGAGTCGTGTATGAGGAGACGACGCGGAGTCGGTACTGAATGGGCTTTGGTTGGGATCAAGAATATCGTGTGATTTTGTTACGCTTTTTTTTCTAACGACTCTATGGTACTGGTTATGGGAAATGAGACATGTTAGAGGCTAGAATAATGAATGGGCGATCTGGGATGGAAACTCGAGGCAGGCGACGGCTTCAATGAGGATATGAGAATCTGGAAAGCGATGACGGGCGTTGGATACATATATTTCGCCTTTACGCTTTGAATGAATTAAATTACATGAGATACATTCTAGATGCCTTGTAGTGTTGCGTCCAAAGGCCATCCGCCTTGCTTGATAAGTCGTAGCCGCTCTGAATGAGCGCCTCATCAGAAGCCTCCCCCGAATCTCACCAGCCAAAGCTGGCCTCGATCAACCAAGAGGGCGGGGTGTCCTTTATCTCATCATCACCACTAAATTACTGGTATCCATTGATCTCTTTTTCGATCCCATATCTTGCGCATCGCTCAAGTGTCCTGCCAAGTACATGTACTGCCATTATTTTGCTAGCCAACCAGTGACATCATAGTCTTAAAGACATCCGCCACCGCAGCGAACCTCGTTAGACGCCATCTTTGCAAGCTCCAAGCGTCCTGGTTTACCTTGGTTGATTAACGTTCCATGTCATCCGGTGACATATTTGTTAACCTTGGGGCTGTCTCCTGTGCCCTCCAAGGATAGCTGTAACTAGTGCTAGTAAAAGCGATTGCCTTTGAACCCACGCAGCTGAACCCTTGACCCTTGATCCTTGACCCTTTCGCATGGCAGCCACCTCGTGGATCGTAACAAATAGCCTTGCCATACAACAAAAGGGAAACAAATTTATTTGATTCAGTGTTCACTGAACTGTTGTCTGTCGTTCATCTCGCTCGCATTGTGCCATTCCTAAATCTCCAGAACCGCAACACCTTTGTATCGTCATCCACCCAAACGTAGGCCTTTCAACCATGGGAAACACACTATTGAAGCTATTCAGCTCGTCCATGTATAAAACGGAAATCAAGGCCTAGGTGGAAGGAACATTGGATCTAGTACTCCTGCGAATTATATCATAACGCCACCCGCAGTCCCAAGAATTTACCTGCTAAATGAAAGCTAACGTCATGATGTGAGTGACAGCTACTCGTGCTCTCTATTTCTACTTCTACATCACTTTTCCATCTCCAAACATTCTTCTCTTTTTTTTCTCGACTTGAAGTTTGTTTCTATACCCACTCATATCATATCATCATGTCTCAACCTTTCGAAACTCCAGTTGCCCAGTCGCAACACTCTTATCAGCCATCTTCCGATGCACCTCCGCCGAACCCACCGGAGAGTCAAGGACATAGTTCCCATGAGACATGGTCTAACCCTGCTCCCATTAGGAACCGCGCTCTTTCCATCCGCACCAAGAACAAATCTACCCCCTCAAAGGGCCATGGTCGTGGTCGTGGGTTTTCTTTCCTCTCCCTGCGCGAGTCCGTTCAGCCTGAGCTCTCTCGCAAGCTGTTCCGTCTGATCAAGCTCGAGAATGATCTCATTCACACACACGAGGCTGCGGGTCGCGAGCGTACGGCCATCGCCACGCAGCTCTCCGAATGGGGTGAGCAGACCAGCGATGAGGCAGTCAACGACATTTCCGACAAGATTGGCGTTATCCTAAGTGAGATGGGTGGATTGGAGGAAACGTACGTTAATTCGCTGGACTTGTCGCGCACTCATCTCAAGATGATCCGCGACACCGAGAGGAGCGTTCAACCAAGCCGCGATGGAAAGAGCAAGCTTTACGACGAGTTCCAGAAGCTCAAGGCGAAGGAGCCTCAGAGTGCCAGGCTAGTCTTGCTAGAGCAGGAGCTTGTTAGAGCAGAGGCCGAGAATCTAGTCGCCGAGGCGCAGTTGACAAACGTTGTAAGTGATGAAGAGTTCTGCAGATTAGCATTTTTCCCATGTATATAATTTTACCTACTAATTCTGCTTTTACAGACTCGGCAAAGGCTCAAAGAAGCATACGATGTCGAGTTCAGCGCAATCATAGAACGCGCCGAGAAGCAAATCATTTTGGCCAAGCATGGTCGTCGTCTCCTGGAGCTTCTAGACGATAAGGCGCTGTCGCCGGGAGATGTTCGCATGCCCTATGAAAACGGCGCTCAGGCTCGTCAGGTGCTGAACGATGCTGAAGATGATCTCAAGGAATGGCAACCAGAGCACCACCACAAGGCTGTAAGCGAAAACGGATCAGAGACATCCAAGGGCAAGAGTCCGGTCGAACCAAGTGCTTAGGCAGTGCTGTGAGATGAAGCCGGGGGTCACGACTTTGTATGACTTTGACTCGGGAAAATGCTTTTATTTGTGTCTTCTTCCCTCTCGACAATCATCCTGCTTCTGGTTGGGAGTTTTGTTAAGAGGGTTTGGCGATGCTTTTCAGGTTTATATACGCGCTCTGTTACGTTTTGATAGCATATCTAGTTATATCCAATCGATGCGACCTGTTGATTTCCGGGATATTACGTTGTTCTTTGGCAGGAGTACCCAAAGATATTAGTGAATGCTTAATGATGGTACTTGAGGCCGGATGTGTAAGTTCTACATCCCGGGTAAGCCTTCCAATAAGCCAGCTCTCTTGATATGTGTCTCGACACTCAGCGAGTACGTGAGACGGTGGCTGTTTGGCAATATGTCGAGTACTAAGATAATTGTTCGTCAAAGATATGAATAATAAGAAAGTGCTACACGGCTTACTCATTCATGACAGTCTATGATATGATATATATGAAATATTACATGTGCTGCCATTATTACATGCATATGGTATACAGATGAATCATACGTAGGGTAACCACAAAACAACTCGTCAAGATGGATCCATCACGACTCGCGTGTACTGTCGCACATAAACTGTGAGAGTTGATACTTGCAACAGGGCTATCCCCTAACAGACCCGCAATAATGGCGAGTGTCCCGTCTTACCGCCTCTCGATACGTGTACTGATACTGTCCCATATTTCCCCGGCAGCCGTTGGGTACACCGGCACTGGAAAAGGGCCCCTACGGACCTCGGTCAATGGCCCCAAAGACCCGAAACTGCCCTGTTGGCTGGGGCTCTAAAAAAATCCAAAATTCCCACCGGGCGCCTTAAACCCATTGGCCATCCGCTGGACCGGGGGACTCGCTCAAAATCTCATTGCATTTGCATTCCGACTGTCCTTGAGGCGAGACGCTGCTATTGATTGATGTTACCCCGACGAGCACCGCAACTCAGGTGGCAGAGTCTGCGTTGTGTCGTCGTGTCCAATCAGAGCTGCTGCGTAGCCTGGACGACGCGACGGAGCGCTGCTGCTGCTGTTGCTGGTTCTGACGTTGGCAGCTGGAGCCTTAGTAGAGCGCGAGGTATTACTACAGCTACAGGCACAGGCACCCATAGTGCAGGTACCGCTACCGCTGCCCCTATCCCTATCAGCACTCCCAGCGCTACTGCCACTGTTACCACTGCTTCGCTGGCCAGGATGGGTCTCCGTGCCCCGCCCCCTCCATCTGGTCAAAACTCCTCCGCCTCCTCGCAAGCTTCCCAACCCTCCCAGCGAACTGCGCAAATTGCCCGTCACCTGGAGAAAAGCAGCGATTCTTCGTCTTCGTCTCCAACCGCCACAATGTCTGGCTACACCGTCCGCAAGGTTGCTGCCCAGAACACTCTGGAGCACCGCGTCTACATCGAGAAGGATGGCGTCCCCGTGTCGCCCTTCCACGACATTCCTCTCTTTGCCAACCAGGAGCAGACCATCCTGAACATGGTTGTCGAGATTCCTCGATGGACCAATGGCAAGCTCGAGGTACGCCATCAACAAGATCTGGCAATTCGCTGAAGATGGCTTTTGAGAGGCACGGGCTTGGAGAGAAATCTCGAGCCTTTGCCGCCTTTTCTTGGCCGTCTCCTTTTCACTGCTTTTAGGACACCGCTGACGTGTTTTTTCACCTTTGACCATTAGATCTCCAAGGAGGAGCTCCTCAACCCCATCAAGCAGGACGTCAAGAAGGGCAAGCTTCGCTTCGTCCGCAACTGTTTCCCCCACAAGGGCTACCTCTGGAACTACGGTGCCTTCCCCCAGGTATGCGATGCCAAAATCCCTTACCCCAACCCGTTCGGGGCACGCGCCATTATACATGACAACGAACTGACAATATTACGCCTCTCAGACCTGGGAAGACCCCAACACCGTCCACCCCGAGACCAAGGCCAAGGGTGACAACGACCCTCTCGATGTCTGCGAGATCGGTGAGCTTGTTGGCTACCCCGGCCAGATCAAGCAGGTCAAGGTCCTCGGTGTCATGGCCCTTCTCGACGAGGAGGAGACTGACTGGAAGGTCATTGTCATTGATGTCAACGACCCCCTCGCCCCTAAGCTGAACGACGTCGAGGACGTCGAGCGCCACCTGCCTGGCCTGCTCCGTGCCACCAACGAGTGGTTCCGTATCTACAAGATCCCCGACGGCAAGCCTGAGAACCAGTTTGCCTTCACTGGCGAGTGCAAGAACAAGACGTATGTCATACCCGGCCCCCCATTGATTTTTTTCTTCTCGAGTTTGCAACTGACAGAATTATAGCTATGCCATGGACGTCATCCGCGAGTGCGCTGAGGCCTGGGAGCGTCTCATCACCGGCAAGACCCAGCCCGGCAGCGTCTCCACGTAAGTTACAGCTACCTTTGAATGTCACGACGAGTGAGCAGATTGACTGACTTGTTTCTTCCATTAGCACCAACGTGACTGTCCAGCACTCCCCCAGCCGCGTGGCCCCCGAGTCTCTGCCTCCTCTGCCTCCCCACCAGGACCTCCCCCCTGAGAAGATTGACGCTTCCATCGACAAGTGGTTCTTCATCAGCGGTGCTTCTGCTTAGTATGCTTAATTTACGATGAAAGTTTGATGGCGTCAAGTGTATCAAATGCATAGTCTTTGATGGTATACCCTGCCAGAGTTGAAAGAAAAATCTAAGCTTTGCAGTAAAAGTACAAAAAAAAAAGTTTCATGACACTATATCGTACAATATTTCGTGCTGTCCGCAATTGGCCTCATCCAGACTGTATTCCCCGCCCCGCATAACGCCGTCAATGCATTGGTAATAGTATAAGACAATAAGACTCGTAGATTTTATTCGGACAGATCAGCTGCCTTTTGCAATTGGCGCGAGTGACGGTCAACTTCCTCGACTAAGCCCTTGATGTTGATTTTGGAGCAGTTGAAGTCCATCTCCTTGCCGTCCTCTGCGCAACTAATTAGCTCATTTCTTGACCCCAGCTCTTGATATATCTAGACGCACTGAATTTGACTTTTAATGAGCTGCTCTCTGGGGAATTTCTCGGCAGTAAACTCGTATGGACGGCCGTTCCATTCATTCGCACGTCCGGCGGGAGAAACGTCAGGAACAAGCGGGCGGGCTTGGCGCAGGTCGAGAAGGGATTGAATTTGGCCGTGACCTCGGTCATGAATTTCGTAATCATCTTGCCGATACGGAGAGCCGCTGCGGGCGTAGATCGACGTTGGCGGAGGGCGGGATTGGGCGAATTGTCGCTTGATTCGACTTTTGCGCATAGTGGGATGTCCAGAACGATGTCGAAATTTGGTGGACTGAGTGGAGACCCGGTATGTGCATATCGCTGTATAAGGTAACGTGGCTGCTAACCTGCCGAGCTAATGATGACATGTAGTTTCAATTGCTCTAAGCTGTCAAGATCAAGGTGCTTTTTCCTGGCCAGCAATACCGAATTTTAATTATTTATTTTCTGCGCATCGCTGGCGAAAATGTCACTGGAAGGGCTGCAGGAGCGGCTGGCTGCTTTGCAGGAGACTACGGCTCAGCTAAGAGAATTAATCGATCGGCTGGCAAATGTGGAATTCGAGCCTGGATCGGTGCCGCTGAATATCGAGGAGGAGGGGAGTGTGAGCGGAGAGCTCAGCGCGGAGGCTGGCTTGATACTGAAAACGGGGTTGGAGGATCAACAGCTGTTGTTCGAAGAAGCTAAATACCTGCGGAGAGGCGGGCATGAGAAGGAGAGGCTTGTGGATGGCATTGAGAGGGTGGGAAGTGAATTGGCCAGGTAAGAGGATATCTTCAGCATGGCTTTCTTCTTCTTCTTGAAAACGTGCTTTGGGGAGAAGTTCGTTATGTGCTAACGAGTATGTTCATGTTTAGTTATCGATCAACGCTTCGAAAGGCACGGCTATCAGCAAAGAAGAATCTGGAGCGAGCTCGGAGGCTTGAAAGAGAGCTCATGGTACAATCCTTTGTCGAACCCATTTCCGAGACGAATACCTCCGCAGGTGGCAGCACCGAAGAGCCACAAGCCGTTGCTCGACCAATACGGCACAACTATAACCAGCATCGACAATTGCAATCGAGTCTATCGGAAGAAGACCGGCAGACGGTTGGGGCAGCCAGCAATGTTACAAATGCCCTGCGGCGGACGCACGCCCTCATCGCGGCGGAATTAAGCAAGAGCGAGTTCGCACACCAGACGCTGACAGAGTCGTCGGCTGCGTTAAAGCAGTTAGACCAGTCGTATAACTCGCTGGATGGCATGCTGGCGAGCTCTCGAGACCTGTTGGGCACACTGCTCAGGTCTCAAAAGAGTGATACATGGTATCTACAGACAGCATTGTACATGTTGATGGTGACTGCAGGATGGCTCGTGTTTAGGAGGCTTTTGTACGGGCCACTGTGGTGGCTTGTGTGGTTGCCCTTGCGGATATTGTTTGGGGTTGGTACCAAGGCTGGAAGTGCGGTGATGCATAGTCGGAGCCCTGGACAGTCTGGGAAGGCTGGGGTGGTGATTGATGGGGAGATTAGAGTGGATGGGCTACCGGATGAGAGCCTGCCAACAGCAGTTGTTGGGCGAGAGAAGAAAGTGGTGGAAAGTGAGGATGATTCTATGATTGAGAAAGTGGGCAAGATTGTGGATGCCGTAAATGAGGCGGATATACCGGGTGAGCATGAAGGTGATCATGACGACAGACTACAAGAAGGAGATGCTGCAGAGGTCGTCGAAGAGGATTCACGTCCTAGAGACGAGCTATGAGACAGATAAAGCATGAAATAGAATAAGAAAATAGGTTGAATATTCATAAGCCCTCCTGACGATTGTTAAATATGTCAAGCCTGGGATGCCTCTACGATTTTTAAAAACTCCAATTTAACCCCGAAAACACAGCTCGCTTTTGCCCCTTAATTTTTTCAAATGTTTGCTCGGCCTCATTACGTTGTTACCTCTGGGGTCCAATCTGGGCAATGTTGCTGATCCAAGGAAGACCTAGCTGGTGCATCTCAACCGCCAGCTGGAAAAGGTAATCGAGACTTTGATTTCACAAACCCTATCAGCACAAATGACCGACTTATGACTCAAAAAAGGGGGGAAATCCAAACTCACCTCTCGCACTGCGTTTTCGCCTTGTGGACATTATCACCCCACACATAGACGCCATGACGCCTCACCAAAACAGCATACGTATCCGGGTACTCCTCCATAGCAGCCTCAAGATACTCCGTCAAGTCCTCCTCATGAGGCGTGTTCTCAATAACAGGAATACGCAGCGTATCATGGTACCCCAAGTTACCCACCTTACCCATGCCCTTGCCAAAGCCCTTGATCTGCTCAATGTTGTTGATCTCGAAGACGCTGCTGCCCTTTGCCTCGAGGAGCAAGGTGACGAGGACGGCCCAGTGGGAGTGGGTGTGGATGCAGCAGCCGGCGCCGCGGCGGGTGAAGGCGGCGAGGAAGAGGGGCGTGCACTGGGAGGGCTTGTAGAGAGGGGGGGAGCGGAGGTAGGTTCGTTGCTTGAGGGAGGGTTCTTGGTCTTTGAGGGAGAGGACGTAGATGTCGGCGGGTTTCATGAGTTCCTTTTGGACGCCGGAGGGGGCGATGTAGACGAGGTTGCTGTGTGGCTGGTTAGCGATGGGGCAGTGATTTGTATAGTTTGTATGATGAAGTATAAAGGGATATCACGTTGTATATGGTGTGTAGTATACATGTACGCTTGAGTGAGAGTGGGAGAGTGAGCGTATCACCAGCTTCATCACCAATTTCACCCCACTCGAGATGATATGAGAGCTTGTTTCAAGCTCATCAATGAGGGATATACCTAGTGTCAAAACAAGGGAGAATATATATACTTACTCGTCTCTAATGGAGCATCCTCCTCCAGTACCGGTAACCCATCCCAAGGTCCAGAACTTGGCGCACAGCGAAGGGATGAGGTTGGCAGGATGTTCAGGGTCCGAAGACGTCACGAGCTGATCGGGGTTCTCATGAGCAGCGGCCATTATGCAATGAGTTTCACAATAAGTGAAATAATAAACAATATATGAAACAGGTATGAACTTTCTATGAATCTAGCTTTGTAGATTTTGTAGTTACGTGAAGCAGATGCGAATGCGATGCGATGCGAGCTTTTGCCCCTCTAGTGGCTTTTCGCTGCCCCTCCATTGAGAAAAAATGACGAGCTTAGCTGCGATAGGTAGCTGGCCGAAAACGTGGGAGGCGCAAGGGCCACCTTTATCTCACGATCTCGGTTGTTGGATTTAAGATTTGATCGGATCTACGGAGTGCGGAATAACGGAGCTTTTAATAAAAAAAGTAGATAAATGACGAATACGACAAGTTCGAGGACGGCTGTCCTTGTCCAAGGTATGAGGTAATGCGAATCGAAAAAGCTCGATGCATCGTCGCGGCTGGGCTCGATTTGAGATGGGCGGCGGCTACATGCACGGTACGCTGCTCTGTGCCACCGGGAGGTTAGCACGCTCGGTTCCTGAAAGTATATCTCGTTCCCGTTCTTGCGATGTGGTTGGTTGGATGCCTCGCCCTAGTTACTAAGCCGCAAGCAGGCGCTCAATGTTCAATGCAATTTCTCGACGTTGAATTCGTCCATATTATTGGCTCAAATCCAAGGCGTCCTATCCCGCGTCACACTCGCGTTCGCACTACGCCTCAAGATAGGAGGGAAATGAGAGCTCTTTCGGACGGAAAACGCTCGCTGCTTCTTTGGCAACTCTGAGGTACAGATGTCTCAAACACAAGTAGGGTTGAGTTGGTCCTGAAATTACGGCCCCAGGAACCTGCATTGTTAGTGCAAGGCAAGGCAAAAGAAGGCCAGTTGCTGTAGCTCTTAGGGGGAAACGGCTCTCCCCTAGGACGCTGAAAGTCGCCAACCTCGAGCATCAGGACGAGCTGGCTGTCTGGATAACTACTCAAAACCGAAGATGTGAAATATACTCATAGTGTGATGGGGTATATTCCACCAGCACCTGTCATCTTATGGGTACCAAGGTTCTAACGACTGGGTACGCGCAAAGCATCGTCGGCCAAGTTTTGTGGAAATTGCCTGTACCGCTGACAAGTCGGATATCGCTTTGCCCCCGTACGACCTCAGCTGCGCAAGGAGCAGATGTTCCCTATTTGCCAGGGTCAAGTCAGCTTCACCAACCGCAAGCCGGTTAGATCCCCCCTTCGGAATCTTGCCCCGTCTGGCACACGGCCATGCACCGATCGCCAGTGGTGCCTCGTATCGCGAGGAGCCTTTTGCTAAGCCAAGCCCAGAAGGCCACAGTATGAAGGCTTCAGGCCCGTACTGGGCTGGGCTTGTATCTCACCCAAACGGAGCATCGTAACCCCTGGCGGCTCCGGAGGCCACAGGCTAAAGGGCTAGCTTTCCGGGCTAAGGCAGTAGGACGTTGGATTTCTTGCTTGTATTTTAAGGATTGAGTTTTGCTCGGGCTCTGCGCCAATGCAGGAAGCAAAGCGAGCTCCCCCGTGGGCCTTCAGTGTTTCGTATCAACGGACAATGGTGTTCAGTTGACAGATATGGGAGAGAACGAAGGTGTGGCAACGGCCAATGTTGATGTTGACGTTGACATTGGTGTTGATGCATGCTCGTTGCCTCATAAACAATCATCCATCACCATGTGACAGATTCCAGGCGACGATCAAATCAAAGGACAGGCCTGAACCTCTTGTCTTAGTCACTAGTATTGGATATGAGCACACCAAGCCAGGATGGCCCGCTCTAGTGCCGCTTCATGCCCCTGCAGGCGCTAGCCAAATGGAAGAAAGACACACGACTGTGATGGCAGACGGGCTTGGCCATGGCCATGAAGATGGGGTGAATTGACAGAGAGCGTCATTTCACGCTGGGGACATTGTGTTGCATGGGTCAATTGCCTGCACTAAAGTGCTAACGTAGCAGTTGAAGCGGGCAGACGGCCAAAAAACAGGGCAATACAGGTGCCGCCGCATGAAATACAGTAGCAGTAGCAGTAGCAGCAGCAGCAGCCCCGGGAGAACAAATCACGGCCTCCATGCACACAGCGGGAAGAAAATGGCCTGTAACCAGCTGGTGGTCCCACAGGCCGCACACAGCCTCTGTTAGGCCGTGGCCGTGGCCGAGATGCCGAGCAAAAAATCAATGACCGCATCGCACAGAATCCATCCATGGCCTGGAGAACAGAGTTGGAGGGGGAAAGATGGCAAAAAGGACGTCCAACGTGCCCAACAGAAGAGGAGACGAAGAGGAGAATGAGGCGGATCGTCACGCCAAATACGAGGCCCCTCGAACGTACAGCACAGCATCGAGACAATGGCGGGAGGGCGAAAAGCGCCACAGCATCGGGAAAGTGGTCGATTTTCTTTTTTTGTATCAAAATATGGATCAATTGCTTTTTTGCTTTTTCGATTGGGGTCAGCGCCTCCAAGGGGCACGGCTTTCTTATTCCTGCGGCTGGACATCGTTGCGCCACGCAATTAAACAATTACAATGCGGCGCTTCCACAGGGGAAAAAGGCGTTGCAGTTCTTCAACTGCAGACGTACGAGGCACAAAGCACAAAAAGTCATATGGCCGTGGATATGTTGAGATACAACTGCAAAATGAAGCTTCATGCAGCACACACGCCCTTGTTTCTCCAATGTTTACATGTACGAGTACCCAAGAAGTGAGGTCACCCAAGCACAAGCAATGCAATGCTCGGGTGGGGCCCTCAGACAAGCCCGGGTTTGCCTCCATCCCTTCTCTCATGCTACTGTAACTCGTACTGCACACTAGGAGATTTCCACCGGACGGTACATGGCCCGTACTGTGCGGGAAAAAAACACGCCGGCGATGCTTTTGAGCGATTGGGTCTCCTTGAACTCTCTGCCTGGCTGCTACGCGCCTGGGCCTTTTTTGCTTGGCCATCGGGTGCAAGTATTAAAGGGAGATTGTCCTGCTCCCCGGCGCGGAGGCTTCTTCTTCCTCCTCATCTTCGATCTCAAAACCAGTCTCTCGCTCTGCAATCGACATTCGTTTTTGGTGCTTCCTTGCGACTTACACTACAACTCACTTAATACTTACAACAACAACAACAACAACTTAATCAATCACGATGCGTTTCACCGTTGTTCTGTCCGGCCTCTTTGCCGTCCTGGCTGCTGCCGCCTCCGAGTCCGGCTCACCTACTTCTGCTGCTCCGGCTTCTTCTGTCTCTCTCGACCCTGCCCAGCAGTCTCAGTATAACTGTATCCATGCTTGCAAGGCCGGCGATGTCAACTGCCAGGCTCACTGCATTGCTGTATGTTGAACCCGCTGTTTTCTCTCTCTCATTTCTCCCAGCGTCTATACATGATGAACAAAAGACGACTTGACTTACACGCAATGCTCTTACAGGTCCCTTCTCCCGACCAGTCTCAGGTCAACGCCACCACTGCCTGCGTTGCCAAGTGCCCTCAGGGTGACGGCAGCCCTTCCCAGACCAACACCTACAAGCTGTGCGTGAACAAGTGCATCGCCGACCACTACTTCGTCACCTCCGAGGGCACTCCCTCCCAGACCGGTGCTGCTGGCGACCACGCTGCCTCCAACACTGGCACTGACACCGCTGCTGCTCCCACTGGCTCCTCTGGCTCTGACTCTGGCTCTTCTTCCTCTGGCAACTCTTCTGGCACTGGCACCCGCTCTGGCAGCCCTACCCGAACTGGCGCTGCTGCTACCTCAAGCACCACCAACGCTGCTCCCGCCATCATTGCCTCTGGCGGTGCCCTCGCTGGTGTCATTGCTGCCCTCCTGGCTCTGTAAACTTTGAGATATCCCCTTTTGATTTCATGTCATCTTTTTTTCAGTTCGGTTTTGGATTGGTTAATGGAAGGGGTTTAATTCGGGTTTCGGGGATTTAATGATTGGGGTTGTGTATTTACATCCGTGGCTGGATAGGGTAATAAAAGGTGTCTGTTGGGACAAAAAGATTCTGCTGCTTCTGTGTCAAGTACCCAACCGTGATGGAACGTGAAATTGTATAAGTCGATGAAGTTGCCTGTAGGCTCATTTCTCATCATACACACCTGATATGTTCTCGAGTGGTTGTTTGATCCAACAGTCGAGGCAGGTCGGCATTCTGGCTTGTGCGTCTGGAGCAATCGTCTGATGTGGGGAGATTTCGTTGTGAAAAAACGATGAAAGTGATGCATGGGCCACAGACAGACCCTGCGCAGATCGTAGGCCTGCTATGCATTCTTACTGACTTACCTAACCAGGACGTCTTGTATCTCGTAATACTCCGTATGGATGCAGTCTTTTGTGCTCGTATTCATGTGTGCACTTGTGTCTTGCATGTGCCATACAGTACGCTGACGACATGGCAAGATTCTACTGCGTAATCGCATCACATCAGTGCATCCAATTCCATATCAGTTCTCTGCGGCGACTCATGAAGGTCTTGGTCCTCGTGTTATAGCGGCAAAGCCTTAGCGCCTGTCACATTAATGGGGCATCTGCTCTATGCATCAGATAGGTAGAAATCGACGTGCTAACTTTTAGGCTCTCCATAGACTCTATTCTATTTTTTTTCTTTTCGCTATTGACAAAATATTGATTGAAGCCGTCGCCGAAGATGGGAATGAAGAGCAGAGACATGCTGCCTCGTACTACTGCTGGAGTTTTCGTGTCAGCATCGACAATTGGCCCGGGGTTACCTCAGCGCGGCCGGGTGCTTCAAGTTGGAAATGGATATGTGGCATCTTCTGTTTCCGTGTAACCACCTGGTCGCCTCCCCGATTTTTTTTTCTCCAAATCTCACCCGGAGAAAAAAACAGCGAGAAGAGCGATGATGCCATTAGCAATGTCCGGTCAATTGGTTTGCTTGGACACGGGTAGATTAGCCACGGATACTCCAGATAGACAGGATGACTTGTAGTCTTTGCCTTTCCGCTGTATTTCCACCATCAATCCCGTAGCTGCGCCTTCAATTGATTTGATGCCATCGACATGCTTCTCTTCGAATCGTCTCGAAATATATCAGCAGGCCCACACGTGGGTTGCAGCGGCGCCAAAAACTGCTTCATCCGGGCCTCTTCCATTGGCCTGGCTGGCATCGGGAACAGCAGCCCGGGTACGTACTGGGCGAGTTAAACCCAGCCTGGCAGCTCAGACCCCCGCATCGACCAACTAACCTGGCAGCTAAATTCCGTCTGTGGCCCTTGACAGCTTCTACGTGTCCTCAAGAGCTTCCCCAGCCTTCTTCAACGGTGCACTTCTTCCCATTTATTTTCCCTCTTCTTTCTTTCTTCAATTCAATCTCCCTTGGGATTTTAGATTCATTCTCCTTTAGCGCTGGGACTGCCCTGTTGGCACAACTTCCTTCTCTTCTTCTTCTCTCCCCCGCTCTCTGAAGAAACCGCTGGTATAGGTATTTCGCAATGAAGTTCAACAAGGTCGCAGCCGCCGCGGCTTTGCTCGCTGGTGTCGCATATGCCGAGGATGTTGAAGAGTCCAAGGCGGTCCCGGAGATTCCCACCTTTACTGTAAGCCAATCTCCCTCTCCAGATTGGAAGCTCTAGCTGCTGCTGCTGCTGCTGCTCTGGCGACATGCGTAAATGACCGTCTGTGTACTAACGGAGATTCTCGTTGTTTAGCCCACCACCATCAAGGCGGACTTCCTGGAGCAGTTCACCGACGACTGGGAGTCTCGATGGAAGCCTTCGCACGCCAAGAAGGACACTAGCGGTTCCGACAAGGCTGAGGAGGAAGAGGAATGGGCCTACGTTGGCGAGTGGGCTGTTGAGGAGCCCTACCAGTACAAGGGAATTGAGGGCGACAAGGGTCTTGTCATCAAGAACGCCGCCGCTCACCACGCCATCTCGGCCAAGTTCCCCAAGAAGATTGACAACAAGGGCAAGACTCTCGTTGTTCAGTACGAAGTGAAGCTTCAGAGTAAGTTGGCGTCTACAGAGAAAACGAGGGCATCTGGACATGTACTGACGTGTGTGCGCGTGCAGAGGGACTGGACTGCGGTGGTGCCTACATGAAGCTTCTGCGCGACAACAAGGCTCTCCACCAGGACGAGTTCAGCAACACCACTCCCTATGTCATCATGTTTGGCCCCGACAAGTGCGGCCACAACAACAGGGTTCACTTCATTGTCAACCACAAGAACCCCAAGACTGGCGAGTACGAGGAGAAGCACCTCAACACTGCTCCTTCCGTCAACATCGTCAAGACCACCGAGCTTTACACTCTCATTGTTCACCCCAACAACACCTTCTCTATCAAGCAGAATGGTGTCGAGACTAAGGCTGGTAGCCTTCTCGAGGACCTGGCTCCTCCCATCAACCCTCCCAAGGAGATTGATGACCCCAAGGACACCAAGCCCGAGGATTGGGTTGACGAGGCTCGCATTGCTGACCCTGATGCCGTCAAGCCTGAGGACTGGGATGAGGATGCGCCTTTCGAGATTGTCGACGAGGAGGCCACTCAGCCCGAGGACTGGCTTGTCGATGAGCCCTCTGTTATTCCCGACCCCGAGGCTCAGAAGCCCGAGGACTGGGATGACGAGGAGGATGGTGACTGGGTTGCCCCCACCGTCCCCAACCCCAAGTGTGACGATGTCTCCGGCTGTGGCCCCTGGTCCAAGCCTTTGATCAAGAACCCTGACTACAAGGGCAAGTGGTCTGCCCCCTTCATTGACAACCCCGCCTACAAGGGTGTCTGGGCTCCCCGCAAGATCAAGAACCCCGACTACTATGAGGACAAGAACCCCGCCAACTTTGAGCCCATTGGAGCTGTGAGTAGCACCCATTTTCTATCTATCTCTCTACTATCACTATGTTTCAAGCTTGGTTGCTAACCTTTTTTTCTCTTTAATAGATTGGCTTCGAGATCTGGACCATGACCAACGACATTCTCTTCGACAACATCTACATTGGCCACTCCGTCGAGGATGCCGAGAAGCTGGCTGCCGAGACCTTCTTCGTCAAGCACCCCATCGAGGAGGCTCTTGCCAAGGCTGATGAGCCCAAGTTTGACGACACCCCCAAGTCTCCCTCTGACCTCAAGTTCCTTGACGACCCTGTCCTGTTCATCAAGGAGAAGCTTGACCTGTTCCTCACCATTGCCCAGAAGGACCCCATTGAGGCCATTAAGTTTGTTCCCGAGGTCGCCGGTGGCATTGCCGCTGTTGTCGTCACCCTGATTGCCATCATCACCGCTCTTGTCGGCCTTGGTGGTTCTTCCGCCGCCCCCAAGAAGCCCGCTGCTACCTCCAAGGACAAGGCAAAGGACAAGTCCGAGGCTGTTGCCAGCGGTGCTGACAAGTCCAAGGGAGAGGCTACCAAGCGAACTACCCGCAGCCAGTCGTAAAGGGTTGGAGTGTATTTCTTTTGTCAGAGCGGTAGGGGATCGAAGCAATGGCCAGATGTGGGATGAACAGAAATATCCAATATACCAGCGTCTGGGGCCAAAGTCCGAAAAAAGAATTGGGAAGCCAAGGGGACTGAAAATGAATACTTAGCAAAAATTGTTATTTAAAAAAAAAATGGGAATCAATTGTTATTACTGCTCCTTTGAGATTTATATGTTCAGTGTCAGTCACGTAGGATCCATTTGTATCGCGATGATTATACAAAGGCAGTCTAGTGTAAGCCAGCTAGCAAACCCGATGTGGAGGATGAGTTATTGCACAAGAGACGCCAAGGAGTAAGACGACGGAGGTAGATGCAATCAATACGTGGCGTGTAGTATATTCTGTACCATTATCATCACTCGACAAGCTGAATTGATTGTATTCACAGTATCAAAAAAGTCGATGAAATGAAGCTACGACGATACTCGTGTTCGAAGGTTGGTCACAGGTCGTTCACAGAGAGCGCCAGGCCGTATAAGGAAAGCTACCTAATGATTCCACGATATTACCGAGTATACTACTGGCGCCTTTAGGCCATTGACACGTTAAGAGGGGAAAAGGGCAGATAAGCCGTGCTGCTGATGGACGGCGTTGGCGCTGGCGGCGATAGCAGCAGCAGTTTATAGCATTTCTCGGTAAAGATGCCCGTGATCGGAGCGCTAGAGTTCGGCAATGTAGGTAATGAGAAATCAAAACGCGGTACGACAGTAATCCATCTCAAACGTAACGAAACGGCGTCCTGAATCGTTTGCCCTTCGGCATGTTGCGGCATCGGCTTAACAATTGGCAGCCAATCTAAGCGGCTCCCCACACAAACCCCGTCTGTGGTCATGGTTCCCCGTTTTTTGCCTCCTCCCCCACACACGGCTACGGCCGGTTGCTTTGGGTTGAAGAGACGGAGGTTGATAAATAGGACGCTGGCCTTTTCGTTTTCATCTCGTCACTCTTTTGTCTGACGGCTTTGCTGACTAGGCGTTACCAGGAGAGGGCAGCATAACACAGTCTTTTGTCTTTGTCTTGTTTCTTCTTGATATACCGCCGCCTATCATGCGCCGCCTCCTCTCCGTCAGCGCCTCTGCCAGTGCCCGCGGATTGACTGCCGCTTCCCCTCGGTCTACCATTGCCCTGGCCAAGATGACCTCCAAGGCTCAGGCTGCTACAGCCGTCAGGAGAATTCATGCCACGGCCCAGCAGCTCAAGCCAATGGACGCCCTGTCGTCCACGGCCACCAGCTTCCCCACGACGCACGAGCAGATCGAGAATGTGCAGAACACGCCCTACTTCATCGACAACAAGTTTGTCCAGTCGACGACGGACAAGTTCATCGACCTGCCCGACCCGGCCACCAACAACCTGGTGACCCGCGTGCCGCAGATGACGCAGGCCGAGATGAAGGCCGTCATTGAGAGCTCCGAGAAGGCCTTCCAGTCGTGGAAGAACACCACCGTGCTGTTCCGCCAGCAGATCATGTTCCGCTACGTGCAGCTGATCAAGGACAACTGGGACAGACTGGCCGCCAGCATTACCCTCGAGCAGGGCAAGACGTTTGCCGATGCCAAGGGTGATGTGCTCCGTGGCCTGCAGGTCGCCGAGGCTGCCATTGGCGCCCCCGAGCTGCTCAAGGGCGAGGTTCTCGAGGTGTCCAAGGACATGGAGACGAGGACCTACCGTGAGCCTCTTGGTGTCACTGCTGCCATCTGCCCCTTTAGTAAGTTACTCTGATCACTGGTTCCTGAAAACTAGATGACAATGAGCTAACAAGTCGTTTCTTTCTACTAGACTTCCCTGCCATGATCCCGCTGTGGTCCATCCCCATTGCCACCATCACCGGAAACACCGTCGTCATCAAGCCCTCAGAACGGGATCCTGGTGCCGCCATGATCCTCGTCGAGCTGGCTGAAAAGGCCGGCTTCCCCCCCGGCGTTGTCAGCGTCATCCACGGCGCCCACGACACCGTCAACTTCATCCTTGACGAGCCCGCCATCAAGGCTGTGAGCTTCGTCGGTGGCAACAAGGCCGGCGAGTACATCTACACTCGTGCCTCCGCCAATGGCAAGCGTGTCCAGGCCAACCTGGGAGCCAAGAACCACGCCGCCGTCCTCCCCGACTGCAATAAGAACCACTTCATCAACAGTGTCGTGGGAGCTGCCTTTGGAGCTGCCGGTCAGCGCTGCATGGCCCTGAGCACACTGGTCATGGTTGGCGAGACCAAGGAGTGGCTCTCTGAGGTTGCTGAGCACGCACAGGCGCTCAAGGTCGATGGTGGCTTCGAGGAGGGTGCCGATCTGGGCCCCGTCATCTCCCCCCAGAGCAAGGAGCGTATCTTGAGCATCATTGACAGCGCCGAGAAGGAGGGTGCTACGATCCTGCTCGACGGCCGTGGCTTCAAGTCTGAAAAGTACCCCAACGGCAACTTCATCGGACCCACCATCATCTCCAACGTCACTCCCGACATGACCTGCTACAAGCAGGAGATTTTCGGCCCCGTGCTGGTGTGCCTCAACGTCGAGACCATCGACGACGCCATTGAGCTCATCAACAAGAACGAGTACGGCAACGGCGTTGCCATCTTCACAAAGTCGGGCGCCACCGCCGAGACGTTCCGCAAGAACATCGAGGCCGGCCAGGTGGGCATCAACGTGCCCATCCCCGTGCCGCTGCCCATGTTCTCCTTCACCGGCAACAAGAAGTCGATTGCCGGAGGCGGTGCCAACACCTTTTACGGCCGACCCGGCATCAACTTTTACACCCAGCTCAAGACGGTGACGGCGTTGTGGCAGAGCGCCGATGCCGTGGCCAAGAAGGCCGCGGTGCACATGCCCACGCTGCAGTAGAGGGCGGAATTGAGTTGAGCGGTTTGGGATTGTTTGCGTGAGGAATAAGACGGAATGATGGGAAAAATGATGATGCCCTGATGAAATGAAGGGTGGTTGTCTCACAGAACATGCATGTACTGTACATAATATAGCCACGAGCAGATGGGCTGGACAGCATGGGAATTGCTTTTTTAGCAGAATGAAATAAATCTACGTTAAATCCAGTATATGAATGATTAATATGGTGATGTTTTTGTTATCGGTTTGCTGAGGTGCGAGATTAGGCAATCTATCTGCTGGGGGACGTCACATGCCACCTCTCACCTCTCCTCAACTTCTTACTTATCACGCAAGTCAACGTGCATCAACCCCCATGTTTCCTCCTAAGCTGCAACCTCATCTTTGCATCCTCTCTTTTTACATCGCCATCAACTAGAGTATATATTCTTATAAATCAGCCAGCATCAAAACCAAATATATCGATATCAGTCCCAAACAGTATATACATGTTCCAAATCACAATGGCCCTCACTCTGACAGGCCTCCCATACACCATCTTCACAGACATCATCTCCCGCCTCTCCGCCACGGAAGCAATCCTCTGTCAGCGCATCTCCCGGGCCTTCCGCGAGGCCCTCACCAGGAACGACCTCTGCATCAGCCTCATCCTAACGCACTTCCCGCGCTCGCTGGAAGGCAGGCGGCTCAGGCAGCTTCTCCGGACCGGCGAACTCGGGGCCCTCGAGCGCGGCGACTGGGCCGCTGTGTTTGCGAGGCTGGCGCGGCGGTATTTTCATCTGGGGAATGCCGTGCCGTGGAAGGTCGTCAAGGTGCCAGTGCTGAAAGATGACAAGCGGCTGAGGGGCGTGACGCCGTGGAATCGGTTTCTGAGCCTCAACGGCAAGACGGCGCCGTTCCACTTTTGGGACCCGGTATGGACCGTGGCTGAGGCCGAGGGATTGTTGGTGTATCCGGCGCCGATGGGGGAGGATGTCGGGTTCCGGGCCCGGGATCTGGAGACGGGGGTGGAGGTGGATGTGCCTTTTGACATGAGCGGCAAGATTGTGAGGCGAGTCCGCATCAGCCATGGGATTCTCATGGTTGAGTGGTGCGAGCAGCAGCCAAGTCGTGCAGGCAACGGAGACGCGGCGATACATCGCCACTATGCAACCGCTTACATCGTCCGCAGGATCGGACTCTGGGACGGCGTCATCCCCCGGCGTGATGGCCAAGTGTCAGCCTATTCTTGGGCCTTTGAATTCCTCTGCGAGTGCAAGATTCATCATCTCGGTTTGCCTATCAATCACCAAGACCGCTTCTTCTCGACGCATAATGCTACTCACTACGTCGTCTACACATGGCAGGCTGCGCGTTCCCCCTGGGAAGACGAGCCCCTTGAGCGGCTCACCATATGGGAGTTTGGAAATCCCTCTACATACAGACCATCCCAGGATCCATTCGGAACAGCAAATCGAGACGACTCCGGCCCACGCATCATCCGCAGCATGACAAACGGCCAGCTCCGCGAATGGGCCATCCGCCAAAGTGACACGCCGGCCCTGCGTGTCATGGCCATCGACGACTGCACCTGGGACGCCGCCAGGGGCTCTGCCTGCGGCCACGTCTTCTTCACCGAAGAGGAGCACCGCTGGTCCGCCGGCCCTCACAGCAGCTCGAACCCGCCTCGCCTACATCGTGTCAAGACGACGGGGATCCCGCTGATAGGCGAAGGCCCTCGGTGGGTGGACGACTGCGGCGGCGGAGGCGGTGTCAACCTGCCTTTTTGCTGCGACGGCCGGTGGGCGAGACGACTGGCGGGGACGGACGACAACGTCTACGATGCTAGTGACGAGAGTCTTGGCGTTGGCATCGAGAAGTCATGGAACAACAATCACTCGCATACCTGGCCTGGTCGCGCTCCCTGCTGGCGCCACGACGACTGGCCCTACGTGACGCTCTCCGAGGTCTTTGATGCTGCGGCAGGCGTCCGCGTCATTGCCCGCGAGTGCTTCATGCTCGAGACCCTATCCGTGCACATCCGGCCCAAGATCCGCATCCAGGGCATCGGCGAGAGCGGCGCCAAATTTACTGCCAGAGGAACCACAATGTCACGCACGAGCAGACGCAGAAAGAGACGCACACGAAGACCAAGTGCTGCGAGGAGCGGCAGCGGAAGCAGCAATGGCAGCAGTAGCAGTACCACTTCTCACCAGACGCCCGACGGAAATGAAACTGCTGCCGCCAGTAGTAGCAGCAGCAACAGCGGCAAGGGAGGCGTCACGACGCAGGGCCCAGACGGGCAGGAGGTCCAGTTCGCGGACGACGTGTGGCCTGAGATGATGGCCAAGGGCTTCATCTGCGGAGACGAGCGGTGGCTCGTCGGCGAGGACGCCAAGGGGGATGTCACCATTATCGTCTTTTGAAGCATTGACGACGATATTAAAAAAGCGAAATATACACATTCACACATCTGATCTAAAATACCGAGACAAGTAGATAGCATATAAATAAACCCCTCATAGCGTGTAAGCAACAAGAAACGAGACGTCAGTTGAGGCTATGCAAGGAACGAACGGAACGGCAACTAAAAAAGTCAGGAACAGGAAACATCACGTTACGTCTCATGCTCAAGGGTGGTCACGTTCTCAAATCTCAAACCCACAACATAAGAAAATTAGAAGAAAATTAGAAGAAAAAAAATCACTCATTTGCTTCGCCATGCCGTGTTCGTTTTCTCAGTCCATCTAGTGGCGTCACCACAAATCGTATGTTGGGACGTTTGATCAAGCCCATTTTTGTGTTTCCATTGCACCTTCTACATGCTTCTCGCTGTATCTACAACAATGTCCAGATATATAAAGACAATGGTTTGCAGAAAAAAAACATAACTATGCTCCCGCCCCTTTCGTGTAAGATATAAAAACAAACAACAAAAAAAGCGATCAAATCAGTTGTCAAAACGTATTCATCAGTAATGCCCTTATAACAAAAAGCAACAAAAGAAGAGATGGTGCGTTTAAAAGCAGCGAGGTTCTTCTGAGCTCACATAAACGTTTCCTCCTCTTTTTGTCCGCCATCTCTCCTTTTTCATTTCATAAATTCTCATTTCAGTTTCAAACTCCATTCTCAATCTCTCTCACATTCTTTGCTTCAATTCTTGGGCACCTCAATTCTTGGGCACCTCAATTCTGGGGCACCTCAATTCTTGGGCACCTCCATAAATCCACCATAATACGAATCCAACCACGCGGCCGCCTGCTCGCCAGCCTCGTCAACGTTGGTGTCCCATCGGCCAACGCAGCCAACATAGCCGTCGGGACGGACGTTGACGATAGCGACTTCGCTGGGGCCGAGGCTTCCCAGCCACTTGTCTGTGCAGAAAGCGCCTCTGGTGTCTAGCTCGGGGACGTTGTCGATATAGACGGTCCAGCGGCTATCCTGCAGCAGTGCGGGAAGGTCTGATATCTCAATCTCAGACTTGGGCATGGTGGCTACACACATCATTTTGGTTAGTTAAAAGGCACTTTGGAAGGAAGTTGAAAAGGTAAGGGGGAAAAGCCGCAAGGCTGCTACTCACTAATCAAAGCAAATGTGAACAAGTGGCTGACTACTGTGTATCTCTCAGGTCGCGTATACACATCTTCCGGAGCCGGCAATCTTGGCTGCTTGGCGTAGGATGCGCTTGCGGCAGCAGAAAGCTGGCTCACCAGGGACTTTGGAGTTGCCATGGTGCGGCAGAGAGTCTCCAAGAAGGGCCTGGCCTGTATCACATCCCACATAAGGAGGTAGATACGGAATTGGCCCAGCATGGGAATGTCGAGTTGAATGTCCACGGGGTTGGAGTCAATGTATCGCGATACCTTGGCCGGGGGCAAGAGGCATCCCGGACGAGCGCCGCCCAGGATGGCCGAGTTGTCCTCTGGCCGGGTAATGTTGAGGGCGCTCTCGCTGTAGTCGGCGCCAATACCGGAGATGAAGCGCACGTTGGCCCTAAAGTTCTCGGCCATGGCGACGGCATCTCCACCGGCAATGCGGTTGGCATGCTCGTAATCAAAGTTGACGAGATCGAGGGCGATCTTGCGGCGCTCCACCTCGTAGCTTTCGAGAAGATTGGGCTTGGCCAATCCACGGCATGCCAAGTTCAACTTCCAGGCCAGGTTCCACGAGTCGTGCATGGATGTGTTCATGCCCTGGGCAGACTTGGGAGAGTGAGTGTGACTAGCATCTCCAGCAAGGAACACCCTGGTCTTGACATCCGTGAAGCGACTCGCCACGCGCTGGCCCACCTGGTATCGCCCAAACCACTCAATGTACTTCCAATCGAGCTCAAAGGGGGCCATGATCTTGCGGGCCTGCTGCATGACAAACTTTTGGCCGAGCTCACGGCGGTCAGCGCGGGCGCTGGCCTTGAGCTCGATGTAGAAGCGCGTCATGTTGCGCTCGCGGGGAACAATGAGGATCGAGCCGTGCTCCTCAGAGTAGACAAGAGTCTTGGACCAGATATCAGGGAAGTTGGTGATGAGCTCGCCGTCCAAGACGCCCCAGATGTCTGGGCGGGACATGCCCACGGCCTCAACGTTGGACATGTTCTTGCGGACCTTGGAGTGTGCTCCATCGCCTATTGAGTTCCCATGTTAGCGAGGTGCTTTTCCTCTTCTTTAGACTTAGATTTGGTAATTAATTGACTTACATCCAACGAGATAATCGGTCAAAATTGTCTTCTTGTCCTGGTTGACATTGGCGTAACACCGAACCTGGACTGGCCCTGACTTTGGCACATAGTGAGACTCAAAGGCCGTGTTCCGGCGCACCTCCTTTCCGCGCTTCCTCAGGTCGTCGACGAATAGGCCCTCAACCATGCCCTGGTGGACAAGGAGGATATAAGGGTCCAAAACATCAATGACGGGAGGGTAGTGCACTTCACGGCCTAGGCGGTGCAGAGGTGCATCTGCCGTACTGCGCCAAAAGGAGATGTCAAAGACTCTCACGCCGCGCTGCAGCAGCGGATCAGCCAATCGCATCTGCCGAAAGGTCTCAATTGATTTCGGCTGTAAGCCATCGGCTCTGTATTCACCAAATTAGCGTCCAAAAATGGAATTGGCCAGTAGAATCTAAACACTGTTTTGAATAGAGCAGAAATGAAGCCTACAAACCACAAGTTGCAGCAGTAGATGGACAGAAAACGAAGAGAAGGGAAAGGAAAAGGGGGTAAGTTGCTCGAGGCCAGCTGAAAGGGATAAACAGCATCTTTTTTTCTAATTGGGGACAGACATACCGGCCAACAGGCGTCTGGTCCGCCCTATCATCTACAACTTCAACGTCGATGCCGAAACGGGCGAGATTCGCTGCCAGCATGAGGCCTGCGGGACCAGCGCCAACAACACACACCTGGCAGGTGGTGGGCGGCTCTGGCAGGCTCCGGAGAAGGGCGAGAGGATCGGTGGCATCCTCCTCGTCGATGGGCATCTCCTGGTTCGAGGGACCTGGCTGCGGCGTTTCTTCCTCCATGTGGTTGGGACTGTTGTTCCTGGAGGTTGACGATCGTGAGGGACTGACGACGCCCGGCGCCATGGTGACGGACGTAGGTTGAGCTGAGTTGTCAGCCAGCTTGAAGGCTCTCACTGCGGTTTGCTTCGAGCCGGGCCTCTCTGTACTGTCCAGTATCGAACTGGGACGCTGTGGGCAGCCGAAAAAGAACGAGCTCGCTCCACTGTCCGGGAGCCTGGTTGCTTTTCAATGGCCGTGGCTCGCCCAATTACCACTTTGCTTTTGCGCACTCCAGCACGCTGTGCCCGATGAGAGCGATAGAGAGAGATAGGCCTGTCTGTCTCAGCCGGATCGTCTCAGGAGAGGTTGCGACCGTCTCCACCACACCTCTTTTTTTCTCGTTGCTGCAACGCAACTGCAATGCAATGCGATTTTAGGGATCCTCTTGGGCCTTTGTGCTCGACCTTGTCCGAATCCTCGTACAGTTACAGTACGAGTACAAGTGCCGCTCTCAAGCTTTTTGGCCCCCTGGCCTTTTTGCTGCGACGAATTGGATGGATACTGGGGCCCGGATCGGGGGGGTTATTTGGAGGGTCTGGGCTAGAAACGCAGGATGATGCGACAGTGCAGGAAAAAGAAAAAGGGTTGAGGTTGAAGCTGCAAAAGGTGCTGTAGCTGTACAGTAGGGCAGTACAGAGCAGGAGGATGGAAAGTCGTTCTTTAGTCCAAGTGTGTCACGCGGCGGCGAGACAGACGCTTACAGCACACAGCAGCCCCGAGCCCATTTCCCTCGCCTCTTTATCTATCTCGTTCCAGTGTTGCTTTTGGGGGAGGGGAATTGGCCAGGCGTCCGCTACTAATACTGCTTTCGTCTCCCTAGGCCGGAGCATCAGTACCTGTAGGTCCCAAGGCAGCTGGGGGAAGGGAATTGGTAATAAATAAGGGCTTTTCCAAGCACGGAGTACGAGGCCAGTACTCGCCCAGACGCTGTGCCGGCGACGCAACGCGCGAGTACCTGTACAGTGCCTTCAGCCCAACAAGCGGCGGCTGCGAGGCCGGGCCCCAGCAGCAGGTCTGGCCAGAGTCGGAGAGGCTGGAAGGAGCGACACAGCAGCTCATGGCCCCGGTAAAGCCCGACGCACGTACGGCAAAAGTGGCATGACAGACGGCCGTCCTGGACAGCTGTTGAGAGCAAGATCAGCCCATTTTGCCGTCAAGATAATTGTCATTGGCGTTGCACCATGTCCAGGCGCTGGCTTACCGATGGCTTAGCCTCAGTTTGCGCGCCGCTGATTGGCCGCAGGACCTTCCTCGGAGAGGGCAAGTGGTGCCATTTTGCACCGTGGCCGCGCCTGCTCTAGAATGCGGCTCCACTCCGCTCCATCCATCCAACGGGAGACGAGGATTTAGAAAAAAACGAGAGTGGAAGGCATGGCTTTTGGCTCATGCTTTCCTGCTGCTGCTCCTGCTTGGGAATCTGCTGGAGATTCCAGAGAGTCATGGAAGGACCCAGTTACGAGTACATTGCACATCGCACCCTGCCTGTCAATTTCCCTCCAGACAAGCATTCCAATTCTCTTCACCTTTTTCGCTCTGTTTCCGCCAGGGTCCATCTCGTCCCGGATGCTTCTTTCCCAAAGGGGTCTCAAGGGTCCAGTTCTTGTGTTTCTCCTCAACCGTCGCGGCCGAGTCAGCGGCTCCGGTTTTACAAAGTACATGTACGAGGTACTTTGGTCTCATAACACAGACCCTGGTCGGGTTCCAACTTACAAGCGGCGCCACGGCGCTGTGGCACAGATAGACTTTCTCAATGGTGGCATGCTGCATGTGGTTGCAGGTAGATCTACAAGTACTGGGTCGTGTTGCTTTACTCCGTACATACAAGCAGATGTCTAATCATTCATCTATATCCAGAATGAGGCTCCTTTGAGCAGCCAGTCGTCTTTGACTCGTGGCCCATATATGCACTCCATACTCGCTGCTGTGGCATCCTGCATTGCTATCTCGCCTTATCGGGCCTTAGCCTACATGATACACTCGTAGCTCGGCATTGATGGTGATCTGTCTTTCGGTCACGATGCTGACTCGCCGACTTCGACTCTATCATATGCTACCAAAGTACTAACCTACATTAGCGGTGCAGGTCTATTTGCAGCAAAGTATAAACGGCCTTGATAATAATAACTCAAACTCCTGAATGGCATCGTCATTCGGTGGCTACGGAGCCCTCG